CAATTCTCTGAAACTCTTTTTGGCTGGTTGAAATGAGACGCTTGACCATGTCGTAAGTAGTGAGCCTAATGCTGCAGTTGAAAGAAGGAGATTTCATCAGCTAATACAGTACAAGGCTTGAAGCATCGATAGATCCCCAAGCATGGAACAATAACCAAAACTGCGCTTAGGAATGAGATCATTCGACGCATACTTTTAACATAATGCACGAGGAAAAAAATAGACAGGATGTGCATGGAACCTGCTGTTCGGTAAAGTTTTCAAAGCATTAGGCAAGAAACCCCTATATAAGCCTACAAGTCCATCACGCTCCACAATACCTGCACAAGCAACATCAACTCAGATCAATGACTTTGACTATGGACCTAAAAATGTAACTTCATTACAAACAGAGACGGAAGCGAAGAACAAGATAATAAAATTTTCTTATATACCATAACTTGAATCCCACACACACACACACAAACCCGTTAATAGAGAGAACATGTGTGAAAATATTTAACACCATGCGTCACTTGTATCTCAGTGCCAGATGGTAAAAATATTTAACACTACCTGGAATGGCATCCAAAACCGACTTGTAAGGTGTGCCCTTCATTTGCATCTGTCTTCTCACAGTGTCCAAAGGATAACATGTGAGTGTGGCAAGGGAAGCTGATACCAAACCCGTTAATAGAGATGCTTCAGCTTTCTTTTGAAAATCCTCCGGTAGAGACTTCTTCACCCTGCAATCCAAAGACAACTATAACTAACATAGAATACATTATTGTATTATCCTTATTGTGACAAAGAATGAGGTACGAGTGGACTCACAAGTCAAAAATGCAAAAGTTCACAGCAATATACTCATTTTAAATGATACTTGTTTTAGGATTTTTTTATTTCTAAAGTTTGAAACTTGCAATTGTTACTCCTAGAACTACGCTCGAGACGGACATGGTAAAAGACTAAGATGAGATTACTCCAGGCCAACCTATTAATAGTAATAGCAGCCAGTGTAATAACTTGGACAATGAACCAATAGCATGACCCAAAAAAAAAGAGAGGAGAGCTTGTCATTCTGATGTGAGACTTTTTCAATCACTTGGCAGAGATTAATTAAACCTCTTTAAGACTAGGAAACAAGATAAGTTGCTACTTTTAATTTATCCAGTAATTGGCTAAATGGACGAACAGGTCAGAGAAAGAAAGGTATAGGAAAGAGGTGCGCATTAAGAAGGAAGAAGGGAGAAGGTGAAGAGGGGGCAAAGTAAGATCTAAAATCTATACACGAGTCTATGCACTTATACTGTACAACTCTAAAGTATGTACTGACATCCATTTGAAAAACAGACAAAACAAAAATGGCCAAAAACTGCTGCAAAGTATCCTCAAAGGTTCTAAACTTCTAGCATTCCTTTCCCTCACAAGCACCACATAATACAGCTATACAAAGAGGAAAAGGGTCAAAACATATTTTTCCTAAACTATCAAAAGAAAACAGGACCAGAAATATTTCACTCTCAAATTATAAAAATAAAATGACCATCTTAATAAAGCTACATGAGAGTTCATTCAAACTGATCATATTGTCTCCAAACAAGTCCATCCTAACCTTTTTCTGTTTTGACACAAACAAATATTCCAATCCCCCATAATATCCCAGTAGAGAACTTTATGTTACAAAATGTCCACCCCCTCTCCCCTAAATTTGTCAAAGGGTCCTCCAGTTTCTTCCGAACCCAACCACCCAAAACACAGCCGTCACTCTACCTCTCCTTCTCTCATATGTCCTCAGCCAAAAAACTCACGCCCTTGACAAAATAAACTAGGACAAGATGTTGGAATTGCCCAACTCAATATTTTCCTTAAACAACCTTAACCATAATATAAAGCAATTAGGAAACAAAGAAAACAAACCAGAATTTTGGAGAATATAAACCCTCTGAAGCAGACCTTCTTCAAAGCAAATTAGCCCTTCTTCAAAGCAAATCAGAAGCAGACCTTCTTCAAAGCAAATTAGCCCTGACATATACCCAAATCAGAATCAGAAGCAGACCTTTTTTGTTTCCTCCACAAACCCTAATTTTTTCCCCAATTAATTTTTTCCCAATTAATTTTTTCCACAAACCATATCACCCTTCCCCAATTAATTTTTCCCCACCCTCCATCCCCAATTGTTTTTCCCGACACCCATACCCTCATCCCTTTGCTCTTCCCACCCCTCTTTCCCTAATCTCCCCATCCCTAATTTGAAAAATCCAAACAAATAAATGAGAAGCTTACCTGGAGAAACCTGGACAACGAGATCGGTAGTTTTTGGAACAACGGAACGAGAGAACGAGAGAACGAGAAAGAGCCTGAGGTTCGGGTTATGCGAGAGAGCTCTGAGGTGAAGAGCGAGAGCGTTTTGGTGAAGGGAAGGCGAGAGCGTTTTGGAGAAAGGCGAGAGCGTCGGTGAAGGAAAAGCCGAGGGCAGTTTTGGGTTATGGTATATTTCATTAAACCTGGACACTGTTCACCCGTGTGTGGGTGAAAATAAGCTGCTTTTGGAAGCTGCAAATTGCAGCTTCTTGTCATCTCTTGGTTTTGGGCTTTTTTTCACCCTCAACTTTGAAAAAAAAGCTGATTTTCAAAGTTTACCAAACACCAAAAATTTTCATAGCTTTTTTTCATAGTAGCTTTTTTTTTAAGCACCTCAATCCCAAACAGGCCCTTAAACTCTCTCAATCTTTTCCCTGCGTGGTTTGCAAGTTGAATCACGACCTTTTCCTTTCATCCTCCGCTAAACCTACCAAAACCAAATCCTCTCCTTAGACTCACTGCTTCTCTTTTTTCTCGCTCTCTGAATCTTTTCGTTGTTGAGGTAATCTCTCTGTTGAAAGCTTCTGTTTCTTTTTTCTTTTTCTTTTTCTTTTTTTTATGGATTTAATTTTTTTTTTCTTCAGAGAATTTGAAATGAAATAAGAATAGCGGATTGAGTATAAACAAATTGATGAAATTTTTATTTGAGTGTTTGTGTTGGTCATTTTGTGATTTGTTGAGGTTTGGAATTATTTGAGTTTTTTTGCTGTTACTACTGTGAAGGATGCACGGCAATCGCGAAATGGGCGCTACCTCTTTGGAAAGAGAAGAATATATCTAGCCACCACTAGCAACATTGGGGTTTGAGTTGGACTCGTGTCGGGAAATATATTTTTGCTCTCTATGAAATTTTTTCCCTTTAGCCGAATTGAATTGCAATATCAACTTCTTCTTTTCAAATGGGACCAATATATGGGACACAACAACACCATTCAGATTTTAACGGGATCAAAATGTACAGAACCTCACTCTTTATGTTTCTCTACTCAATGGGAAGAGAAATCTATTAAAAATCGAATAGAAACGTTTACATCTCTTCTACAAATAAGATAGATAAGCGGAAATATGTTAACTTTCATGTGTTATATATGTATGGACACAGCTGATTAATCCCTTGTACGGTGCACGAAGACAATAAAATATGATTATTGGTTGCATGATTTTATTAGTGTCTGAGCGGGAATATGTTAACTTTTGTCATATGGAGCCCACGTTTTTTGCATTTTGATCATCCACACTAAATTCCACATATGTGATGCGTTATGTATGTACGAATGCCGATAAATCGAAACCCCTAATTTTAAAATGATGACGTATCGATTGCATCGAAGTCGTTATCCTAAGTACTAGACGTGACTTCACGGAACCAAACTTCATGCAGCTAGTCAAAGATGAGTGCCACGTGTTACTTATGATCCATAATTGCACTTGACCAAACTATTGACTTTACAATATAGTTTTTTCTCAATTAATTTGACGATCTTGAAATAATATTGGCAGCCCTCCCATCCAACAAACTCTATGTGAACTTTAACAATTATATTTAACTTAGGATGTAATTTTATTTTAATAATGGAATCATAATTAATCATTTATTTAAAATAATATTGGCAGGAAGTTGGAAAGTATGGAAGGTGACGTGGGTGAATTAAAGCCAGCATATGCACATGCAAGAAATTGCAACTTTTGGCGATCGTCTTACAACACTCAGTTATTTTAGTGAGAAATTTTTCAGTATATTTAGAATATAAAGTAATATAATACGTGTTATTGTAAAAATAATGAGTTACTTGAGTTAAAAAATTAATAACTGATAAAATAAAACTTCTCACCACTTATACAAGAAATTTTTTCTTGTTACGAGAACACGGGTGGTACACCACGTGTAAGCTTCCGATATTGTTCACTTTAATGAAAAACCACATTTTTACACTAAAAAGTCAATCCTGGTATTATTCACTTTACCCTTTATTTTGTTCTTATCGTTAAAACTCAAAGTTTTCAAGTCATTTTTATTAGTTTTCCTTTAAAAAAAAGTACAAAAAAAAATTAATTATTAAAAAAGCATTGTTAAAATGAAATACTCCTGCATTATTTTGGGATGTTTTTGAAGGTTTTTGTCTTGGGGGCATTTTCCAAATTATTTTGTTGAAGCTTGGTGACACAAAAACACTATTCAACTTAATCGGTCTTTATAAAATTTACATTAAGAATAAATAAAATAAAATTTAATAAACAATTGATTGAATCACATTATTACTAGCCCATTGTGGGGCTAAGCCCACCCCCTCCCCCTTAATGTAGATAATATCGTTTGTTAAAAAAAAAAATTCATTTGATAACTAATTTAATCACATTATTATCTGCTTACAAAAGACCTTTTTTATAACCGGTATTACACGCCTCTTAAGATGTTTTGAATGTGTTTAAAAATATAGAAAATAGTATTGAATGAAGAGTTGATTGAATCACATTATTGTTAGCATATTGTGATGTACTAATTAAAAACAAGTACAAAAAAAATTAATTATTAAAAAAATATTGTTAAAGTGACGAAAATACCCCTGCATTATTTTGGAATGCCTTTGAAGTTTTTTGTTTTGAGAACATTTTTATTGAAACTTGATGACACCAAAAATACTATTCACCTTTTGTGCTGAGTTTATAAATAGATAGATAGATAGATAGACAGATAGATATTGCTCTCTCCTCTCTTTCTCTTTACTTTGTTCCACCGAATTGTATTCCTTTTTTTATATACTCACTGCAATGGGGGAAATGGAAAAGGTACGTAATATTTGGTATAGTTTGTTCTCTTCATTTTTTTCTTCCAATTATAAGCAGATAACCCAAATGATGATTGGTATGGCTAAAACTAAAAGGCTTTAAGCTCTTGTTTAAGTTTTGTGATTCCTAATCTTTTATTTATATCCTAATGAGAATCCAAGTCCCCTCCTCTTGTGCAATTTTGTTGTTTGTTGCCTCTCTCTCTCTCTCTCTCTCTTTTTGTTACTGATTTTGCCACATACCTTCACCATGATTAGCACTGTTCCACTTCTTTTTGTCTACACTTTTGCACAACAAGCTTCTGTATTATTTATATATTTTCTGAAGATTCATTCTTGTCAATCTTTGGTTAATGTACATATTTTTTCTATTAATATTAAAAATGGGTAATTCAGGTTACGATTATGGTCCTGAAGGTAGATCTTCAGTGTCACAAATGCTACAAGAAGGTCAAAAAAGTTCTTTGTAAATTCCCTCGTGAGTCTCTCTTCTTCTTGATTCGTTTATAGTTATTTGATGAAAAGCCAAAGTTACAGTTCTTTCTTTTTGAGAAAATAAGATTAATTTAGATTAAATGTAAACTGAGTAAATTAATGTGTGTGTGTGAACAAAAGAAATACGAGACCAGAAATATGACGAGAAGGAAAACCAAGTGGAGATCAAAGTGGTAAGCTGCAGTCCAGAAAAGATAAGGGACAAGATTTGTTGCAAAGGTGGGTGTGCCATCAAATGCATCGAGTTCAAAGAGCACGAGCCCAAGCCAACCAAAGCTAGCGAAAAAGATAACGGCAAGATTAAAATAGTTAGCGGCAAGCCCAAAGATGATGAAAAAGATAACGGCAAGATTAAAATAGTCAGCGGCAAGCCCACAGATGATGAAAAAGATAACGGCAAGATTAAAATAGTTAAAAGCAAGCCTAAAGGTCAAGACGGGCCTAAAAAAGATAACGGCATGCCTGACATAGTTAATGGTGATGAACAAGATAATGGCAAGCCTAAATATCCTGTTGTGATAGGGTACCCACCGCTTGTCCCCGCATGTTGTATGGATTGTTACCTGGGGCATGCAGGTAGACCATGCTACAGTGGTTGTGGCGGGCAGCAATGCTACTGTCGTTGTGGTGGGCGGCAATGCTACTGTCGTTGTGGTGGGCGGCCATGCTACAATCGTTGTGGTGGGCAGCCGTGCTACAGTGGTTATGTCGAGCGGCCAGCCCTGTACATCCGGTATGATGGTTACTATGGGAGGCCTGTGTATGACAATTACAGTGGTGACAGCAGGGGGTATTGTGTTACCCACACTAACTATTTCAGTGAAGAAAATCCCTCAGCTTGCACAGTCATGTAAATCATCGATCATCTTGTTGGACCATGACACCTTCTTCAATCTCGGGATAATATTTTAGCAGTGTATGTTGGTTGCTAAAGTTGAAAAAAACTTTAGTTTTAATAAAAAATGATAAATAAAGGTGTAGGAAAATATAAAAATATAATTTTTCGTTAAATATGAACAATATTAAGAGTGTTTCGTTTAAACTCTATATTATTATGGGAGGGGCATATATATTGTTAAGTGAATAATGAGTTGGTGGTTGTCAAGTCACATAAACATTATCAAATCACAATCACGTCAATCTGTTCATTAAATTATTAATATGGACTATAGAGAGAAAGAGATACATTGTCACATCCCAACCTGGGGTCCACCACATTTCGGGCCCGCTCTACCACCGCAGCACGATATTGTTCGTTTTAGACCCCGACCACGTCCTCACGGTTATGTTTTTGGGAACTCATACGAGAACTTCCTAGTGGGTCACCCATCATGGAATTGCTTTCGTGCACCCATCATGGGATTGCTTTCGCGCTCTACTCGCTTAACTTCGGAGTTCCCATGAAACCCGAAGTCAGTGAGCTTCTAAAAAGCCTCGTGCTAGGTAAGGATGGGAATATACATATAAGGCTTACATCATCCACTTCCCTGAACGATGTGGAATGTTACATACATCCCATCATGAAGATGAAGATGAACTTGATGCCTGCTACAATTTTCAATGCAATAAAAGTTTACATTCCACATTCCATTCTTTGACCTGCACAGTGCACGTGCGTTCTTATTAGTTATTTCCTATTTTGCAAGTTGATTTTCATCAACGATTAATAAGCGATTGGTCAAGAGTGGAATTGAGCCTCATTTGCATTTTTCACTTATCTTTCTCATTTATTAAGTGTAACATGAATTCTACTAACACAAACAAAAATTTCATTTCTTTTAAGAAACTCATTATTATTTTTCTATATTTACTTTTATTTCCAAAAGCTAACATTTTTTCTCTCCTACCACTGCGTGTTCTAATCTAAACTATGTTTTTTCTTCTTTCATTACCAAAAACAAAAACCCACCCAGAAGCAATCTCTTGGCTTTTTGGAACTTATATGAGTTACACTAGTTGGTCAAGATATTATGTTCCAATCCACGTAAATTTCCAACCAATAAGCAAACCCTTGGAGTCCCAGGGCTCATATGAGTAAACTAAAGAATGAAATTTAAATTCTACCATAAACTAAAGAGTAGCTAGGGAGACTAAATTTGTAAACAAAATTTTGTAAACTAAATAACATGAAAGTTGATAATTGGATTATTACTTAAGTGTTAATGACACATAATTTAATTTGTAAATTTTATTTACAAATTTAGTTTCCTAACATTACTCTAAACTAAACAAATCCTTGATCCCTCGCCCCCTCCAAATGTCGACAAGAGAGAGAGCAGCAGCAACAACAACAACCTAGATACGTGTGTAATAATGTGTTCCCAGAAAGAAGAACTACTCCCATGCCTGCTTTTCATTCCATGCTCCTTTTGTTTGTTCGAGAATTGATTGATATGTTTATACAAAAATAAGCAAAAGCCAAAACCCCACGTGAATCCAACACCGTGTTTGTATTCCAGGATGATACCGTTTCTACAAAACCCACCATTTCCTAACAGCTTGTAACAGTTTTCTGTCTCTACAACATATTCTTATACTTAATAATTAATTGAATTTTTTTTTTCTCAATGAGCTAATATTTACGGTTTTTTGTCGATTTTGAGAATTTTTTAAAGAAGTATATTGTTCTTATGTTAAAACTCAAACCAACATGCACTGTTCACAAACAGTGCGCAAACGAAAATGCCCTCCAAAAAAAATCTTTCTTAGCGTTTTCTACCAGCATCTCTACAGTAAAAAGATAGTTATGCCCCCTTGTGTCCACGCGTCTCCCATCGCCTTGTTTTCTTCGTGCGTCAAGTGGCTTCCCGATGTTTCTGTTTTTTTTCACTCCATTTGGTCTAGTAGCTTCCCCATTATTGTTATTAGGGTTTACATTAGGCTTTTCATCTCCAAATAATTTTTTTAATTTGGTTCCCTTATGGCTTGGATGTGCATACAATCATCGTTTGGAAATCCAGATCGTTCAAATTTTAAAGGGAGAATCGAAATCGTATATCTTTAAACTCCCTCCTTTTTTTCCCTGAGTGTTTTGCAAGTTGAATCATGACCTTTTCCTCTCATCCTCCGCTAAACCCACCAAAACCAAATCCTCCCCTCATACTCACCGCTTCTCTCTTGTCTTGCTCTCTGAATCTTTCTGTTGTTGAGGTAATCTCTATGTTGAAAGCTTCTATTTCTTTTTTCTTCTCTTTTTTTTTCATTTGGGTAAATTTTTTTATTATTATTTTTTTTATGGATTTATGTACTTTTTTTCTTCAGAGAATTCGAAATGAAATAGGAATAGCGGATTGAGTATAAACAAATTGATGAATTTTTTATTTGAGTGTTTGTGTTTGTCCTTTTGTGATTTGTTGAGGTTTGGAATTATTTGAGTTTTTTTGCTATCACTACCGTGAAGGACGCTCAGCAATCGCAAAATAGGGGCTACCTCTTTGGAAAAAGAAAAATATATCTAGCTTAGGTAAAAGGTTAGCGATCGGAGTTGAGGCATGCTGACCGACATCCGAAAGTGATGTGGCCAAAAGGTTAGCGATGTGTAAAATATGGATAAATTTAAACCGAAGCTAGAATTTATTTAAGCTAATAATGATAGTGCACAGTAGTGGGAAGAAGAACCCATAAAACATAAGTAGTCAGAGCATAGGTGACAATACTACATAAGTAGAGCAGTCAACTCTAGTTAAGATATTTATTACACAACTGGAAATAAGTTCCTACATTTATTTGGGAGGATGTCAAAATCGCCAAAGATCCCTCGTGTGCCACAGAGGATTCAGCGAAGTCCTGGAGGGGCGAAAAACAGAAGGTGTGAGTGGGCAAAAACAAAGGTTTATGAAACAAATTTACTTTCTGAACGTACTAATCCCTTGCCGTAAAACAAGAAACACACAAATCATAATATCTCAATCGTAGCATAAGAAAATTAAGTGCTCATCAATCTATGCTAACACACGAGTTCATGCAGAGAAATTATGACATGAATAAAACTGGGTGTAATCATAATATACGCTCTAACACTACAATCACATGAAGACTGGTGCTAGGCGCATCACATACGAGTCTTAGTTGCCTATTGCAACCTAGGACAGGACTGGCACCTACAATGGATCCAAAGTGAATGTGTAGTGTGATGTGAACATACACATTAAGCCTAACCCTGGGCGAGCACTACACCGGTGCAAGGATGCTTGATGAGCAGGTAAAATGTATATGAACATGTCATAACAATTTATAAATCTCAACAACACAATAACACTTTTAAAATGATATAAAACATGGCATGATAGGCCATATTAATCCAAAAGCATTTATGGAAGGTATAAAACTTTATATAATATATATATATATAAATAAATAAATGCCCACTCACTGATACATAGTCGGTCATAGCCTCCTAGCTTTGCTTGACCTCGTACAACCTCGGGATAATTCTCTCATATATGTGAAACAACTATAGTAATTAATTAATTAAAACATACACAAAAAGGCTAGGAAAACCCCTTATAGTTTGCTCAAATAGAGGGTTTAAATATACAAAAACATTCTATGCGATGTCACAGACCCGTACACGTCGACCATGCGCCGCCACAAAGCAGGACGCGCCCTCATGCGCCACCACACATAGGTCATGTGCCTGCATGCTGTGGCAGATCCTAGTGGAATATTCTGTCAAATTTGACAGAATATTTCGTTAAGTTTAATGGAGTTACCTAAACGGTGTCAATAACGGAATATTCTCCTTCTTCTCCAATTTTCCAATTATCGTTGTCGCCATTCGCCGCCACCATCTGGTTTGTCGGAATCTGGAAAAGCTAGCCGGATTTTTGTAAAAACTTTAAAACTTCATATCTTCCTCATTTCTCAACCATTTTCGACATATTTTAAAATGAAGCTTAGGAAGAGAATAACAAGTTTGTTACTCTTGAAAGTCCAAAAAGTGGACATAAATGGACTAAAAATGCCTCGAAACTCTCGGCCCTAACTCCATCGTCCCAAAGTTGCATTTCTACACGTTAGCTTGTCTTCAAACTTAGGCTAGGGACCTCAAGGAGTTGTGTGGTTGCTTCCAAACCTTCCAAAACCTTGTAACTCGAACGAAAAGTCGCCAGAGAACTTACTCTCAAGTCGGGGATCCGAGTTGGAAGCTCAAAACTCGGTCATTTTTTAATCGGCTCGTACGAATAGACTTGTGGGGACGAGAGGAGTACGATGTTGGTGATTTGAAGTCCGATCTATGATGTTTAGTGATAGTGTTTGTGTTGCAGAGAGAAGATAGAGGCTTGGCGTGAGAAAGAATGAGAAGAAGAGATAGGGTTTTTCTGATTGGACAAGAGGGAGAGATGTTGTCTGATTAGCTGAGGAAAGTGAGGGAAGAAATTGATTGGTAGGTGAGAACAGGTCATGGGACTGGTTTTTAAAACGGGAAGGCTTCAGATTTTGTACAGTTTAAAGGTACACAAAATCTATCTCAGCCTATCTAAAACAACATTCCCAACACTAAATAATTTTGGCGCACATACACACACGTGTACAATTTTACCTGTTGCTAACGTACTTTAACTAAGCGTAACTTCTCCGTTACAAATCCGATTCGGGTCTAACTCGCACTCCTGCATTCGTAACAACGAGTACTATTTAACTACAATAATAAGAAAAATAAATTAAAAGCTGAATAACAACGTCCACGTCAGGTTCCACTTTGCCAACAAGGCATAATTGTCATTTTACATACTCGGGAAGGAAATTACATGGAAAATTAGGGACGAGTCATCACAAAGACCGTGAAACTCTAATCCTAATTTTGTCCTCCCTCGAATTTAAGAGCGAAAATTGATGTATTTGTACTCTCTGTTTTTCGGAATTCGGTATATTGTCGCAATTGGGGTTTATAATGTTTATCAAGAAATTTGATCTAGGATTTTGAATTTTGTTACAGCTCTATAATTTGTGGAGTTATTCTTAGTTTTATCAAGAAACTTGATCTGGATATCATAAATTTTGTGAAATAAGCTTTTAGATTTTGATATTATGGAATTTTTTGGTATGTTAAGTATTAGAACTGACCGTTAGTGCTCATTTCTTAAAATCTACTTTAAAAGCACTGTAATATGTGCTACTACCCAATACATAAATAACATTCTATTATGCATCTTCGACAGAGATGATTTGCTGTGTAGATTCAATAAATGAGAAGAGGGCTTTTCTTCCTTGAGAGAATACAACGATTACTTGGAGGAAGTGGAGGACATGAGTAAGTTTTCAGCTTAGCTGTTGCCTATACACTCATTTCTTTGTCAAAAGTTAGTCTGATAAAGAGCAAAATCATTTTGTAGCATTTGAATTGATCGAAGGAATAGACGTTCCTGCTATTGAATAAAAAATTGCAAAGTACCATAACGAAAATGCCAACAAATAATGATTAAAAAAGCTCATAAGGTACCTCAAAATAAGATCACCATGTTTTTACCCTTTCTTTTTTTTGTTCCTAACCTTCTGATTTTGTATAATGGGAAAAGAAGATCCTAATGCCGGCAAAGTGGCAATATTGAACTCTTAAATTTTTTTGCTTAGTTTAAGTCATAGTTAAAAAAGGACATAGTAGGGGAGGTGGCAACGACAACAATGGCGGGATAGTGGCTGTCATAGCAACAACAATGGTGGGGATTTTCGCTGACTTAATCTAATTTTTCATTAATAAACATGCATGAAAAACTGTTCTAAGCATTTGTCAGATGTTCATCCACACATTCCATGATACCATTTTTGTTTTCTCAATTATTCCCAACTGTGGTTTCGTTTAGTTAAGAACGACATTCTCACAGGTAATAATCTAGATATCCGTGAAAAATATGCACCAATATACAATATGTATTTATCAAAAATTTCTAAGAGTTTTAATATTCTCACAACGCTAATTGTCAGATTGCAATATGTTTTGGAATACATTATTGCAGCACCAACCTTTGGAAGGAAAAATGGTGGCCAATGAAAAAATTGAGACAAATGTGAATTTTATATTGAAAATATCAGGTACAAATGCTGATAAAGCACCTATAAATTTTCAAATTGTTACACCTCTTATTAAAGTATTTTATTTATTTCATATATGGTGATCCCCGAAAGAGGATGTTAGAATCACATTGTGAGGTGACATTGCACGTGTTGAAGTGGGTGTTATTTCTATATTGTTAGGAAGATTTTGGGGAGGTGAGTCAGCGGCTTCTTCCCATTTTTATTTTTTGCTGAAGAGCGACAAAGCAAGAGCCAGTTTAGGAAATTAGGCCTTCTCAATGTTTCTGTGTCTTTTTTCTATTTTTTTTTTTTTGTGTAAAAACGAATTCAAGTTTTAGATAGGATTTAATGCATGCTCAAGATCAGGATTTGAGAAAGTTTTGGAAATTCATGGTTGGATTGTCAATTGGTGTTAGGAATCTTGGTGTTCTGAAAATTAAGGTTAGGATTAGGAGTGGTGCTAAAGCACATTTTATACCATTGCATAAAACTTAGTTTGTATATTTGAAATTCATTGTTTTTTAATTCATTTATATGTTATGTTATGAGTTTTCTAAACATTGTTTTTTAATTCATTTATATGTTATGTTATGATTTTTCTATAATAAGCACATTTTATATCATTGCATAAAACTTAGTTTGTATGTTTGAATTTCGTTGTTTTTTAATTCATTTATATGTTATGTTATGATTTTTCTATAATCTGCATGCTGAAATACTTGGAGTTAGAATTAAGAAGGATTGAATGAAATATGGATTTTTTATTAGATTGGTATGGCTGACAAAGTTAAGAAGTCGCTTAAGATACAGTCTAGGGAATTTCTTTAACTGAACGTAGTTGTTTTCATGAGTTAGATAAGTTACGATGCAGTGCTTCTATATCAAGAAGTGATTTTATATGGATACATTGAGTGATGTGTGAAATGGTAAATGTAATTAATCCTTCAACAAAACAAACAATAAAAGGAGTACCCATTCCCATCTAGCCTTCTGTTTTCTACTTGTCATACCTTTTCAATTTTGCTCATTTTTCATTAGTCATATGAAAGATTGTGCAATACCTTGGGACCAAAATATCTAACAAACTGAACTGGATATCTCTATTATAGAGAGTTTGTAAAAGTAATTTAGACATTATTAGTTTATATTAGTGTTTCACTTTTGTACATTCACTCTATTTTCTGTGTTGTATGGTTTTACATGAGAATTCCGTAATGATAGCATGTTGCAATGGTGTAAATGCAACTTTGTATTTGGTTTGTGTTTAAAACTTAGTCCACTTGGTGAATGTTTTCTCTTTCTTTTCAACTTAGTGTTTTGAGTCGTGTTAGATTGTTAAAGAATTCAGCAAAAAGGCTTTTTAGATACAGCTTGATTTTTTTACTTCCAAGGTTCGTGCATGTTTCTCCATAATTTCATCAGTTAACTTTTTTTAGTTACATTTCCTTTTCTGTTCTAAATTGTTATGTTTTAGTGCTGCCTTTGTTATCAACTTTGAAATTTGAACACAATTTTCTGAAATATAATGTTTTTTTGGGAACTTTACATATTTCTGAATATGCATTGCATTTGTTAAGGTATTTTTCATTCTTTTCGTGTTGGTATCTTTAAACAGACAATGTGGCTATCTGAAATATTCAGTATTGCTGGGCGGTGCAGTAGCATTTGCAAAGGTTTTTTTTCCCTTCCCATCCCCATATACATATGATGAATGCAATTAAGAAGTCTAATGTGTGGTCACATTTTAGAAGCTGGTTTGGAGCCAAACATCTTTATTTTGACATCACTCATCCAATGCTACGGTAAGGCAAAACGCACTGATGACGTTGTCAAGATATTCAATCAACTCCTAGAATTGGGTATAACACCAGATGAATGTTTCTGTGGTTGTCTCCTGAATGTGATGACTCAAACACCAAAGGAAGAACTTTGCAAGCTCGTGAATTGCATTGAGAGGGCTGATGAAAAACTAGGGTATGTGGTAAGACTTCTAGTGGAGAAGCAGGAAAGTAGTGAAAACTTCAAGAACGAAGCATCACAACTTTTTAACTCGATTGGTTCGGATGTAAAGAAGGCTTACTGCAAGTGCCTGATTGATCTTTGTGTGAACCTCAATCTCTTGGAGAGAGCCTGTGAGCTACTAGACTTGGGGATCACACTTCAGATATATATAGGCTTACAGTCAAGTTCTCAGACCTAGTGGTCTTTGTATCCCAAGGGCCTCTCTCTTGGGGCAGCTCTGACTGCATTACATGTTTGGATCAATGACCTATCTCGGGTATTGGAATCTGGTGAGGAGCTTTTGCCGTTGCTTGGAATTAATACTGGACATGGGAAACATAAGTATTCAGAGAAAGGTCTGGCGAGTGTATTTGAGTCGCATTTGAAGGAATTGAATGCTCCATTCCATGAGGCCTCAGACAAGGCTGGCTGGTTTTTGACAACAAAAGTTGCAGTCAAGTCATGGTTAGAGTCTAGAAGTTCATCTGAGTTAGTTACTGCTTAGATGTTGGGCTGTTTAGTTTACTGACAAAGCTCATCACACTGAAAATGTAATGTGAAACTGGTATTTGCTGCTTCTCAGTTCTCTATTTATATGTTTTTGGAATTCTCTCTGGGCGTAGAGAACAGCTTTGTACCATTAGAATTCAACTATGAAATCTTCTTTCATTAGTCTTACGAAGTTAGTGAAGTTCTTAGAAATCTTGAATCGTAGTCAGTAGTAATGCGCTTGAAAGAGAAGGGACCGGCCCCATTTTTCCTATTGTCCCCCTCTCTCTCTCTCTCTTTTTAAAAATTAATACTGAAACAAGAAAGATATATAAACATTAGATAATACATGTTTCGATTTTTAGATGCAAATGTACTAATTGAGTTTACATAATCTAAATTGTTATTAGATTAGGCTTTCTAATTATATTTGGAAAAACAATACTTGTTTGGGGAGTCTTCATCATGTTTCGAACAAGAGATGGTAACCAAATAAATGCCTTCTTTTCCACTACGCCACCAAGTTTTTTGTGTTATCCATCTTACTTTAAAAGTATTTATATACTAATACATACATATAAAAAAAATTGGGTGCCCTTATAAGTCGGGGGCATTAGGTGATCACCTTACCCAGCTACCCTCAGGGCCGGCCCTGACCATCACAGACTGAAGTGACCTTAAATGCTTACTTTCTGAGGCTTATTTCCGTTATCATAATTTTCGAGATATATGACACGTTATTTGCTTGTGATAGAATCATGCAGACATTTCTCTGCTCAATGGGACCAATATATGGGACACAACAACACCATTCAAATTTTAACGGGATCAAAATGTAAAGAACCTCATCTTTAAGTTTCTCTACTCAATGGAAAGAGAAATCTATTAAAAGTCGAATATAAACGTTTACATCTCTTCTACAAATGAGATAGATGAGCAGGAATATATTAACTTTCATGTGTTACGTATAGACACCGCTGCTTAATCCCTTATACAGTGCACTAAGACAATAAAATATGGTTATTGGTTGCATGGTTTTATCATTTTCTGAGCCGGGAAGCTTTTCAAAATGTTTTTCTCAAAATGTCAATTTCCCAAAGGGTGTTGTGCGCGTTAAGATTAAGGGATTTCCTTGGTGGGCGTGGGTGGGTGTGTACTGTATTCGTCTGGAGACGAAAAATCTCAAATTATATTATTTCTATACTAAAACTCAAACACCAGTGTACTGTTTACGGACCGTGGAGTGGTAAAAATGCCCTCCGTTTGGTTTTCCAGCAGGCTTTTTTCTCTTTGTTGCACAGTTAAATGACTGCATTGCCCTTCTAGGCCACGCGTGACTCCAATTCATTTGCCCAGCCCACGTGTTGATCATCGTAGGCTGTTGCGTTTCCCCTATATTCTTCCCACTTTTACTTTTGCTTCCCATATTAGTCTCCGCATTTCTATCACTTGTAGACCTCACTTTCTTTCCCTTTCAAACCCTTGCTTCCGTTGGTCGCGAATTTGTGTTCTGTCGCTCTCAAATCCCGCTTTTTGTCGTTCTCGGCTCTTGGTTTGCTCAGAAAGCACCGAATCAGTGTAAGGTTGTTCAACTTTTCAGTTTTCTTTGGTTCAAAACTGCGGGTTAGATTTTGTTTCATATAAAAATATCAAAAGTTAAATCTTTGTTTGTGTGAATTTTTTAACCTAGATTGTGTTATGGGTTTTGTTCATTGGCCTTTTTGAGATTTATGATTTGGTTTTTTTGGTTGATTCGTTTGTTTTGCAGGTTTCGTTTATACAGAGACAAGGACAACTTGGCCACTGCACCATTTCTCGGCACTTGAGGGTAAGATTTAGCTGGTGAGGTGGTGGATTGCAAAGCTGTAATGAGATGTTAGCTTTATTTTTAATCAACGAATTTGGAAGCATCTTTATATGTTTAGTTTGCTATCTTCTGTTTCAGTTGGATTTTAGTCACTGGAAATTATGAGTTATTTTGGGTATGGTTTCCTGCCTCTGCTGCTTCCTGATTCTGTCTCTGTTTGTTATTTGGTTTGCTAGAATTTGTGGTTTTGTCCGTAAATCTTGAAAAAAATTTGGGCTAAGCAGAGGAACCAATTCAGGTCTCAGTCATGCTCCCTTCAATTGTAGTTTTATACAATACAAAAGCATTATAATTTAGAAAAATGTTAGTCGCTGTTTGTTAGCAAACTCTATGAGTTGGACTGCTCCCTAAACAGACAGTGAACCAGCTTAATTTTTCATTAAAATCACAAGCTTGGATATCTGAGTCTGCCATATTAGTATCATTCATTAGTTTGTAATCCCATTAATTATATTTTGAACATGCTTATTTTTCATACAACAATAGTTATAAACATGTGAATTCTTTTACATCTTAAAACATAAGAAACTGATTGGGTTTCTTATTTTCCAAGCCTGGTTTATTCTGCATCAGGTACACTTCTGGGCATCATTACGGGTGTCAATTTCTTTAGAACTCATGGATAAGTAGTTTTGCGATATCAGTTGATGGACTCGGTAAGTGAATTCAATTATAGTTTTCTTAGATGAGTTGATATCTTATCCACTGCACTGTCCACCTTCTTTTCTTTTGAGAAGATTTGTTTTCTATTGAATTGATAATAAAAATAACTGGGGAAGGAAATTGAGAAAGAAAGAAAAAAACAGCTTTTCTTGGATATGTTTGTGGAGATTTTCTTTAGTATTTACTCCTTTTGGTATGTTGTGATTACACGCAAATACAGATTATATGTCAATATTGTGGGGTTATAACACATCGGTTTTGCAAAGCATCATTTTGCGTTGTGAATTCTGAATTCTGTGTTTAATTTGCCTTTTGTGTTTTGAATTTGAATTTGTAGTCTGATTATGATGTCAATGCAGACTATCTATCATCAATCAGACACTAGACTATGCCTTCAATCAATTGAGAAAAGTCAGTTCATTTGCAGACTGCCTGGTTATGAGTTTACTTTTAACTATCTGGTAATTTGCAACCAAGTTTTCTTTTTCAACTTATGCTCGGTTTACTATTCTTTTGTAGCTTATTTTTTCACAGATTCAGTCTTCAGTAGATGGCTGAGGAATTTCCACATGCAGCACTGTATCAAATTATCATTGATCATAAGGTATGGCATTGTAAGATCATCTTCTGTTCACTTTGATCAAATTTTTATCGACTATTTTTTTATTTTTTATTTTTATAATTATGATTTATTTCTTATTTTGCCTCAAGTTTAGTTGACTTAAGCTTTGTTTATTATCTCTGTAGTACGAAGAAGGCCTTATTAGTGTAATGAGAGAGTCCAATATCAACTGGACGGTAAGTGATCCATTCTTTTTGTTTTTTGTTTTTAATGCAATGTCCATACCTAGTTTAATTTTTACCATATGTTTGACCTTTGTTTTTAAATTAAAATCCACCAATTTGGTTGTGGTTTGTTCCATGATAATTGTATAAAGATGATCATGTTCTACATTACATAGTTTGGGAATTAGACTAAGCAATTTGATCAATCTGAGTAAATATATTTTAGCTTTTCTTATGTTTTAACTGTTAAGATAGAAAATTAATGGATCATTTACATAAAACTCACAAATTATGAGTGTTTTATTGCATATGCCCATATTGCTCCTAAATACTAATCAATCAGTATAATTTGTTTTTGGAAAACTAAGTTTAATCCTGGATGGGAGGTAGGTAGGGATTAATTTTGAGAATCGTTACCCTATGAGGATATTCACAGTTAATGGTGAAAGTTATTTTACTTTTTAAATTATCTCATGAATAAATCTGTTGAGGGAGATGATAGTTTTCTTAAAAATAGCATCAGAAGGGAAATTGGATATTGAATTTTTGGGTGGTTGTTTCCGCATTTGCATCTTTCTGATTTTTTCCTTTGCTGTGTGCTAACTTTGTTAGCAAAGTAACGTTTACAATTACTTTGGGCAGTTCTATACTAAACTGGAGGAAAAGATGCATGCAAAGGAGATGGAGAAGAATAATTTGCAAGCCAAGTATGAGATGATATTCCAATAGTGTGGAAGAAAAGAGCACCATGCCACAAAAGCCGGCTTTTCGTGGGAAGATTCGACAGGGACAATGTGTGAGAACCAAAGAATCTTTGCTTTGTTGTATCCTTTTTAGTTTGATTGATTCCGTAAACCCAAAAATGAAATCTAATTATTTCTATGTTTTGATGGGTGGAAATGGTCAGGATTTCAACTGCGTTGGAGCATAAGAGGAAGAGAGATGAGGTAGACCCGATATGGTGGTGTTCAGTAACTCAGCTGGTAAGTTTTGGCATTTGAAAATTTAGTTGTTTTTGTTGCTGGTTATATTTATTTGTCAAAGTAATGATTTTGGTTTCATGGTCAAGGTTTTATGAGTATGACCATGATGGATCAAAAGCTAGGGATTTTGAATTGGCAATTGGAATTAAAGTCTTAATACATGGTAAGTTTTTTTTTTATTTTTTATTTTTTATATTTCTGCTGCAAAGTTTTTTGATTTTCTCATTTTTTTTATACACCAAATTCCATTTGAAAAGAGTACGTTGGTTAAATACAAGTTTTCCATATGAATTAGAGGACTTATGTAGTGCTGATGTGGGTATTTTGATCTTCCGGTATAGGAGTGAAGAAACTGGCTGGATTAATAATCATCTTATTTTGATCAAATTTTGCAGTATAGATGATATAAGAATCACAATTGCATATGGGAACTGAATCATCATGACATTGGAATTCAAGTTTCTGTTTCTATCAATGCAGGCTATTGCTAATCACCAAATTGATTATGTTTGTTGAAATTTTTGGAATAATATTTTTCTAAAGCCTGATTACTTAAACCTCTCTGAAAAACAGTTGCACATGAAATCATTCACTTTACATGTACAATTACACTCAACTCAGCCAATAACTTTAACAATCTTGCTGATTTTGACCATGCTATTTTATGGATCTGCCAATTGACTTTCTTCTTTACACTTCATCGTGGTTATCTCATACCAATTGTCTAACACTTGAATCTTTTGTATGCAGAAAATTTTTGGGCATTTTGCACAAGTAATTGGAGCTACTGCAAAATTTTAACACTGACATGGATGGAGTGTATAGAAATTTAACGGAGAGTGAGTAAATTGGCTAATTAAAATAATTTCAGTGACAGTGATCATAAAGTTCAGTAGCAAATTGACAGAATAGTCTTTTGAATTGATTAACCATCTACTTAGAGATGCATTAACAAACATCTGCACGCACATGCATTTAGGTTGAAGCAAACTATGTTATCACATGATTGAAATCATCTATTTACATCGATAAACTTTTAATTAGCACATGATTGATATGGGTATATAGACCCGACATCTTTAGCTATATGTTATAGTTTGATATAAAAATTGAATGTATCCGTTTTAAATTTTTCAACCATGTTATTCAACTGATACCATAAACTGCCATATTTTTTAAACTCTGTGGAAAGGAATTTACATGCAACATGATCAAAATGACTCTATAAACTGCTTATAAAATATCTTTTCAAATACATAAGCAAAAAGAGGGATGGTTCTCACCACGTCTTTACCATTGTCCCATTTTTTAGCTATTATAAAATCTATGAATTGCTAATGGGTTTACCTTTTTCATGGAATTTTCAGAATTTTGGGTCGTTGGAGGAAGAATTTGGCTGCTTGACATTTTGAGGTATATACTTTTGTTTTGATTTCTTCAGTTAGATAGTTATTTTACACCAATGCTTTTGTTTCTATTTGGGTTTTTGAAAGTTTAGGGATGTTGCTGAATCATGATAATATTATCCAAATGGAGGTTAAGTCAATTTGATAATATCATGATAATTGATGGTTATGAAACGTTAATATAATAAATTGATGCTTTGGTTGGTCTAGAATGGTGGTTCACCCAAGACACTCATGATAATACGTGGACATCCTATTGCATAAAGATAGAAAATCATATGAACATTCAGATAGTTGCTTTACAGGCAATATGATTGCCCTTCATTTTCAAGTTTTTTGAAGTTAAAAAAAAAAAAAAAAAAAAACTACATTGAGCAAGAAAAAGAATTTATATGACTATAATTGTTTGAAACCGATAAGTACGTAATTTATATTCTTATTTGAGCAATGGAGTTCTCAACTAAGTGATTCTTGACAGGGTCTTAGAAATATGATCAGTTTGTCAAGAGTTTGATAGAGAGCTCTTTTGTTTCTCTTTGCAACCACTGCAAGAGTGCAATTAAAATTTAATCAAAATACCTTCACATTCATAATCCCAAAAGTGACTTCATAAGATGAAATTAATTGACCTAATTATGTACGAACCTCCAATTAAATGAATGAAATATTCGATGTGGATCGAAACCGAACCGAAACCGAACCAAACCAAAATGAAACAAACAACAGCAACGGCCGAAGTTTTTAAAAGTGTAATTTGGATTTATAAATAGATTCTGTTCAAATTTTGTTATTGTGATTTTGGAGAAACTCTTTCTTTAATCTACTTATGTTGTGGGATTTCAAAGTTGAAAACCATTTGCTTTCAATCTTTTGGAACAAATTAGCTTTGGTAGGTAACAGAACAGATAAATTTCTGGAGGATATAAAAATGTTTGCTTTGCTGAGATTGTTCTGGTTAAATTAATCAATTTTATAGTGCACATCGATATGTTAGTTTCAATTTAAACACTTTTGGAAACTTAGAGATACATTTATTAGTTCAATTAGTTAATTCCTACTAAGATTCTTGCAAAACGCTTTTGTTATGCTGTAGTTAAAACACTTTTTAGGGTTGTAAATAGATTTTCACATGATGTAAATAAGATTGTTTTAATGATTTGGAGAATATGGGGAAAAGTCATTCCAAACTTAAAATTCAATGGTAGTTTATTGGTGTAAATTATGTTACTCTCATTAATTTTTCTGTCATTTTTTAGAGTGCCTAAATTTTGACTGTTGTTTAGCTTGGATAAAGCTCAAGGCTTATAACTAAGTTTGCTATTTATTTTGTTTGATGCATTCCAGTTTTTGCAGCTGACACAACTACATCACCTCCAAAGTTGCAGACAAGGATTGCAAGGTTTTTTCTATCCTTTGGTATTCATTGATTGAGTTTGTTTGCAGTTGAAAATGTTGTCTTAGTTAAGACTTCAGGAGAACATCATATTTACAAAATATACTCGAATGTGTTCATTGTTTCTGATGTTAATTGTTTTTTTTATTTTATCAAATTTAAAAACTCTGGTTCGTATTTTTTTAGTATTGTTTTAGCATTTTGGCCTAATGGGTTTGGTTGCATCTAATTGCAAACCCTTCATTTTCTCATGATTTAGTAATTCACCAAGTAATTATGTTTATACATACTCTAATTATTATTATTTTTTCTTTCCAACATGTGTTCATATAGCTGAAAATAAAAAATCAGCTGATTATGTTAGATTAAACTTTGGTAGTCGATCAAACATAATTATTCCTGCAATTTGTAATCCCGCAGCAACGCGCGAGCATTAGATATATATACGAAATGCCTAACTTTCTATTTAATTCCCTTTGTGTCCTTTTCACTGTTCCTTCGCCAGTGTTGTTCCAATTTTGCCCTTCAGTTGTTCTTTAAGTCTTACTTTTTTTGTCAATTACACAGTAAAATGACGGTTTTGACCCTGGATTGCCAATAGAAGTCTCCCGACTCCTTCCTCAGAAACGAAATCCAAAAAGGAAAAACTGTGCTCTGCAATCCGTTCATCATATCGCTGGACCTTCCACTTCCAGTGCATCTTCATGGCTTTTCCATCCGTTCCCTCTTTCTCAAATTTCCGCTTCCGCCGTTCTCAAACTCGCCTCTCTCACTCTCAAGTGTTCAGTCTCTCTCGCTCTCAAACGTTGCCGATCCGTCGAAACCCATATTCCTTTCCTCAAAATCCAAGGTACGGACTTCATGCAGCACTAAGTTTTTGGGATTTTTTTTATATTTTAGTTTTGGATTCGTAATTTTTTGCTCGGTAGCTGAGAAAATGTGATTCCGTGTTTTAGTTTTGGTGTTTTTGTGATTTTGGGTTCGTAGGTTTTTCAAAATTTGGATGTTTGTTTGTAGGTTGCAAAACCCTCTGTTCTCAAGGTAAGTAATTTAAAATTCGGGGGTCCCTAATCCTTAACATTCTTTAATTAAAACCTTAATAGTATTCAAAGTTTGATCAAGGTCTCTTGACTTTGTACACCTCATTATATTACTATTAATATTTATATTTTTATAGTTTTGACATTAATTGTTTGATATTTTATGAGATTTATAATCCTATAAATTTAAAATCCCTCGTTATAATACTATTAGAAATGGTTACAATAAAAAAATTCAAACATTTTGATTGAATAAATGGATAAAAACTATGTAAAAATAAGAAATAATAAATGGCAAAAGAATGTATCCATAATGTTAAAAAATTGGTACATGTTACAAAACAATTGGTACATTTCACATATAACAAAGTGGTACATTAATAAAGAAGAATGGGTACATTATAAATAAATTAGGGTACAAATAAAAGATTAAAAATTATGAGTACAAATGAATTTTTAAAAATATAGGCGCTAAAAGAAATTAATACATGGGTACAAAATAAAACTAAAAAGAAAATACTACAAATTAAAAAAAAAATGTTGCAAATTAAAAGTGGGTACAAACTAAAAATATAAATATATGATACAAATTTTAGGCATAAAAACATAAATATACCATATTTAATTTTTCTATCATTGATTAAATATACAATGTCACGTGACGGTATACACATGGGTACAAACACAAATAAAACTTTAAAAATATAGGCACAAAAAGAAACTAATATATGGGTACAAATTAAAAATGAAAAGAAAATTGGTACAAATTAAAAAATATTTGCAAATTAAAAATAGGTACAAACTAAAAATGAAAATATATGATAAAAAATTTAGCCATAAATATAAATATACTAATTGTAACATTTTTAACACTAAAGGAATATATTTAAAAAAATAAATATTTTATTATTCAAATAATTAATGATGTTATTAATACCCAAGGACCTTGATCAAAAATTCAAAATGAATAGGATTTTAATCAATGGAGTGAAAAAAAAAAAAGGATGTGAACCTAATTTTCGCTTAGTTTTTTTATAATCAGAGTTGAGTTGGTATTTTGTTTGTGTTTGATTATATTGAAATCAGAGTTTCAGAGGACTTCTGTTTGGGTTTGATATTTTCCCACGATGTATAAAATGAGGGAGGGCAAAGCATTTAACGCACCAGATTATATTGGCTGTTTTTGTTATTTCATGCTACGTATTGTAATTGGGAGATTAATCTGTTAATTTGTGTTTATGTAGAAATTGGAAGAAGCAAAGAACATGTATGCTTTTAGCATCACCACCTACACTGGATTCCAATGAACTGTATCTGAAGAAACATCTGAAAAATTCAAAGGTATGCATAGTAGTCAGTTGCATTTGTGTTTTGCAGCTCATGGAATGCTTTTTGCAAGCTTAGATTCAGCTCATGAAAGTTCTTATAGCTGTGGTTGTGTTGTGGTTGCAGCTTATGGAATGATTTAAAAAAATCAGGCCATAATCAGTTTGTACAGGAATACCAGGAAATCAGGGATTTGGATTAATCTCCCTGTTAACATGTGGCCAGTAACATGTCCAGGGCAAGCTTTGAATGCACCTGATGACTTGCGTAAGAATGTCACACGGACTTTGAATCAGGGCTCAATTCCCATGAGCATGGATTTTCATCCTTCACAGCAGACTCTGCTTCTTGGGTTGTATTTTTTAAGTAGCTCCTTATATTTATTTGTATACCTTCGGCTCTACAGTTTTTCCCTAGATGCTTGCTGCTTATGATTGACTGTTGATTGTTCTCTGTATATGCTTCAGTTGGTACCAATATGGGGGACATAGGGCTGTGGGAAGGTGGATCTAGGAAGATCCTCTGCATGGTAGTTAATAGATACTTTTCTATTTGAAAGTTCTTATTGTTGTGGTTGCTGTGTATTTACTTAGATTAATTATGAATTAGAGGTGGTTAAAAATTCGAAATTTTATTGATGCATGTTTTCTTCTTTCTTCCCAGATATCAATTTGTTGTCTGAGGAGAATAGCTGAATAGATCAGATAGTACATGAAGAAAATCATTTTGGTAAGGAAGAAGAAAGAAGAGTGAAGTAATGAGATATGAAGAGAACTTTGCCGCGAAGATTAAAATAGAGATTGTAGTGAGCAGAGTCTAGGTATGAAGAGTTTGAGTTACAGAATTGTTAATGGCTTTGTACCTTTGTAATTTTGTAAACCATTAATACTATCTTAAAATTTAAATTATGAATCCTTACAATTGAAATGTCAATGATTCGAAGCTCATGACTGAATTATTACACTTCTGTAAGATTTATTGATTACTTTTGACCATTGTTAGCTAGCTGGGCAACATGATACACCAGCACACTACTTTTGACCATTGTTAGGGTGTGTAGTGCACTACTTTCTAGTCCCGGAACCTCATTGCACCAAAAAGATAATTAAGTAAACAACTAATTAATTTAAATATCGTTGCACCAAATATCCACTAATCTCATCCTCATTTCCATGTCGGTTGTATCAACACGAAACATATCAAGTCTTACGTACAAATGAATGAGCTGTGATGCACTTAAAAAATGGACTACTAAACCCCTAAACAAGAAGAAAAGATCAAATCGGATTGATCGTGAGAGCCAACCCACCTGTATGAAATTGGGACACTTGGAACGGTTTTCTGAGGCAGTAGCCACACCTTTGTCATCTGGAGCCCACGCTTTTTGAAATTTGATCGTCCATTCTCTCTCCAGTACATTGCAGATACTAGGGTTTATCACATTCTTTTTTTCTACGCCAAATTCCACGTATATATGACGCGTCATGTATGTACGTATGGTTCTAAAATGATGACATATCAATTGCATCGAAGTCGTTATCCTAATTACTAGACGTTTCTTCACCGGTTTGGATTAACAAACCAAACTTCAAGTAGCTAGTCAAAGTTGGTTGGCACCTGTTACTTAAGATTTAGGGACAACTGGAAGAATTTCCATGTGCCATGTGGGGGTGCAGGATCCATAATTGAACTTGACCAAACTATCGACCTTACAATATAGTTTTTTCCTCCATTAATTTGACCATCTTGAAATAATATTGGCAGCTCTCCTCTCCACCAAATTCTATGTGAACTTTAATAATTATAATTAACTTAGGAGGCAATTTTATTTTGATTATGGACTCATAATTAATCATTTACTTAAAATAATATTAGCACGAAGTTGGAAAGTATGGAAGGTGAGGTGGGTAAATCAAAGCCAGCACATGGAGAAAATTTTAGTTATCACGAAAATACAAATAGTACACCATATGTTTTTATGTAAGTGGTGGGAAATTTTATTTTTTAAATTATTAACTTTTTAACACATATCTTACCATTTATATTGCGACACGTGATGTACCACCCCGTATGACGGTCACACTGAAAAATCTCTCTAGCACACGCATGTGCAAGAAATTGAAACTTTTAGCTATCATAAGAAAGTCGTATAACGACAACCCTCAATCATTAGAGCGAGATCTTTCAGTGTGTTCAGAATACAGAGTGGTATATCAGTTGTTATTATAAAAATGATGAGCTACTTGTGTTAAAAAAAATTAATAACTTAAAAAAATAAAACTTCTCACCATTTACACGTGATGTACCACTCGTATTACCGCTACAATTAAACTTTTGTCCACCGTAGCATGAAATCAACCTTCCAATATCAACGTGGTCGCAGCCCATTGGCACTATGTACGAACAATTGTGCTCTCTCTCTCTCTCTCTCTCTTTTTCACTCTTTCTTGACAAGCAATTTGTCATAATTTTTTTGAATAAGCCACTTTAATCAAATATTGCTCTCTCTCTCTCTCTCTCTCTCTCTCTCTCTCTCTCTCTCTCTCTGCTTTGTTCCACCGAACTGTATTCCTATTTTTATATATTTTTGTATAAATATGTATATATAATTATAAAAGTAGGTTTCGTGAGAGCAGTCGTCCCATTCAATCATTTTAGTTGAGAAGTTGTCGTCCAGATCTGAGCCTGTGAGCATCCACTACTCACTGCAATGGGGGAAAAGGAAAAGGTACGTAATATTTGGTATAGTTTGTGTTCTCTTCATTTTCTTTTTCCAAGGATAAGCAGATAACCCAAATGATGATTTGTATGGCTAAAACTAAAAGGCTTTAAGTTCTTGTGTTTTGTGGTTCCTATTCTTTTATTTATATCCTAATAAGAATCCAAGTCCCCTCCTTTGTGCTATTTTGTTGTTTTTTGCCTCTCTCTCTCTCTCTCTCTCTCTCTCTCTCTCTGTTACTGATTCACCATGATTCTTCCCTGTCAGTCAGTCAGAACCCTGATTGTCCAGCAGCACTGTTCCACTTCTTTTTGTCGACACTTTTGCACAACGATCTTCTGTATTATTTATATATTTTCTGAAGATTCATTCTTGTCAATTTTGGTTAATGTACATATTTTTTTTAATATTAAAAATGGGTAATTCAGGTTACGATTATGGTGCTGAAGGTGGATCTTCAGTGTCACAAATGCTACAAGAAGGTCAAAAAAGTTCTTTGTAAATTCCCTCGTGAGTCTCTCTTCTCCTTGATTTGTCTATAATTATTTGATAAAAAGCTAAAGTTATAGTTCTTACTTTTTGAGAAAATAAGATTAATTTAGATTAAATGTAAACTGAGTAAATTAATGTGTGTTTGTGAACAAGAGAAATACGAGACGAGATATACGACGAGAAGCAAAACCAAGTGGTGATCAAAGTGGTATGCTGCAGTCCAGAAAAGATAAGGGACAAGATTTGCTGCAAAGGTGGGAGTGCCATCAAAAGCATCGAGATCAAAGAGCTCGAGAAGAAAACAGATGACGGGAAGAAAAATGATGACGGGAAGAAAAAAGATGACGGCAAGAAAAAAGATGACGGCAACCCTAAAGATGACGGCAAGAAAAAAGATGAAGTCAATAAAAAAGATGACAGCAAGTCTAAAGATCATGTTGTGCCAGGGCACTCACTGCATGTCCGACCGTGTTGTATGGATTGTTACCAGGGGCATGCGGGTGGGCCGTGCTACAATGGTTATGGCGGGGGGCCAGCCCCGTATATCCAGTATGATGGTTATTATGGAAGGCCTGTGTATGACAGTTACGGCGGTGGCAGCATGGGGTATTGTGTTACCCGCCCTGAGTATTTCAATGAAGAAAATCCCTCAGCTTGCACAGTCATGTAAATCATCGATCATCTTGTTGGACAGTGACACCTTCTTCAATCTCGGGATAATATTTTGGTAGTGTTTGTTGGCTGCTATTAATATGGTAAGAAAACTAACGAAAAATCTAAAAAAAACTTTAATTTTAATGAAAAATGAAAAATAAATGTGTAGTAAATAGTATTAGAAAAAAGATAAAAATATGATTTTTCGTTAAAAATGAACAGTATCAGAAATGTTTCGTTAATGATCATATATATTGTTAAGTGAATAATAAAGTTGGTGGTTGTTAAGTCACAATCGCGTTAATCTGTTCATTAAATCAGTAATATAGACTATAGAGAGAAAGAGATACATCCCATCATGAAGATGAAGATGAAGATGAAGTTGGTGCCTGCTACAATTTTCAAAAGTTTCCATTCCACATTCCCTTGTTGTTTGTCCTGCACAGTGCACGTGCGTTCTTTTTAGTTATTTCCCATTTCACAAGCTGATTTTCATCAACTACTAATAAGCGATTAGTCAAGAGTGGAATTGAGGAGGTGTGAATAGAAGAATCTAGCTACTCTGGTTAATACATTTCCAGTCTCATTTATTAAGTGTAACATGAATTCTATTAACACAAACAAAATTTTTATTTCTTTTAAAAAACTCATTATTATTTTTCTATATTTACCTTTATTTCCAAAAGCTAACCTTTTTTCTCTCCTACCACAACATGTTCTAATCTAAACTATTTTTTTTCTTCTTGCATTACCAAAAACAAAAACCCACCCAGAAGCAATCTCTTGGCTTTCCGAAACTTATATGAGTTACACTAGTTGGTCGGGATAGTGTGTTCCAATCCATGTAAATTTCCAACCCAGAAGCAAAGCCTTGCCCTCCCAGGGCTCATATAAGTAAACTAAAGAATGAAATTTAGCTACCATTCCTCGTCTAACAATGCTCAACTATATCATTATTTTCAGTCCCCACATCGTTAGATTCTACCATAAACTAGAGAGTAGTTATGGAGACTAAATTTGTAAATAAAATTTTGTAAACTAAACGATATGAAAGTTGATGATTGGATTATTACTTAAGTGTTAATGACACATCATTTAATTTGCAAATTTTATTTACAAATTTAATTTCCTTACATTACTCTAAACTAAACAAATCCTTGATCCCTCGCCCCCTCCAAATGTCGACAAGAGAGAGAGAGCAGCAACAACAACAACCTAGATACGTGTGTAATAATGTGTTCCCAGAAAGAAGAACTACTCCTAGACCTGCTTTTCATTCCATGTTCCCTTTGTTTGTTCGAGAATTGATTGATATGTTTGTACAAAAATAAGCAAAAGCCAAAACCCTACGTGTCCTATCCAACACCATGTTTGTATTCCGGCTGATACCGTTGCTACAAAACCCATAATTTCCTTAGATCATCTCCAAAAGAGATGTCAAATTTTGAATTTAAAATTTAAATTTGACAACTTATGTGGCATTCTAACATCCCACATCGACCAACAGAGAGGTGGTGATGTGCCTTATATGTACATGCCCACCTCCTATAGCACTGAGGCCTTTTGGGGACTTACTGGCTTCGGATTCCATCAGGACTCCGAAGTTAAGTGAGTTCGGGTGAGAGCATTCCCCGAATGGGTGACCCACTGGGAAGTTCTCGCGTGAGTTCCTAGAAACAAAACAGTGAGGGCGTGGCCAAAGCAGACAATATCGTGATACGCCAGAGCCACAACAATCCCAGATGGGTGACCCACTGGGAAGTTCTCGTGTGAATTCCCAAAAACAAAATCGTAAGGGCATGGCCAGGGCCCAAAGTGGATAATATTGTGCTACAGCGAAGCTGGTCTGGGATGTGACAGGCATTTTGACATATTTTCATGTTTTACTCTCCACCCGATATGTCAAATTAAACTATTATTTTATTACATTATTTTTTTTTCTTAATTTCTGTCTTATACTTTAAATTCAATGAACTAACAGTAAAGAAATTAAACATTGGATTGGTAATCTGCACTAACGGCTATAATATTATTTACAGATTGCATTGGTATTGAAACATTGCATTGAAATATCAAATACTAAAATGACATTAAAATATTAATAAAAGACATTTAATAATTAGTAAAAAAAATTGAAACTGCTATCAAATTTGACAGCAAGCCCCTTTGCTGCCATTCCATGTCATGCCACATAAAATTTGGCATTTCGGTTGGAAACAATTAGTGACTGTCTTTTTTTTTTTTTTTTTTTACTATTATAGCTTATGTGGACAATTTGGCATCTCCTTTGGAGATGCTCTAACGGCTAGTAACATTTTTCTGTCTCTACAACATATTCTTAAGCTCAATAATTACTTTAATTTTTTTCTCAAAATTTGTGAGCTAATATTTACAGTTTTTTTGTCAATTTTGAGAATTTTTTTAACAAGTATTTATTCTTATGTTAAAACCCAAACCAACGTGCACTGTTTACAGACAGTGCGCAGACGAAAATGCCCTAAATCTTCTTAGCATTTTCTACCGGCTTCTCTACAGTAAAAAGACTGTTATGCCCCTTGTGTCCATGTGTCTTTGATCACCGTGTTATCTTTGTGCATCGAGTGGCTTCCCGATGTTTCTGTTGTTTTTCACTCCATTTGGTATAGTAACTTCCCCATTATTTTTATTAGGGTTTACATTAAGCTTTTCATCTCCAAATAATTTTTTTAATTTGGTTCCCTTATGGCTCATATATGCATACAATCATCATTTAGAAATCCAGATCGTTCAAATTTTCAAGGGAAAATCGAAATTGTATATTTTTAAACTCGCTCAATCTTTTCCCTATGTGTTTGCAAGTTGAATCACGACCTTATCCTCTCCTCTCATCCTCCACTAAACCCACCAAAACCAAATCCTCTCCTCATACTCACCGCTTCTCTCTTTTCTCGCTCTCTAAATCTTTCCGTTGTTGAGGGAATTTCTTTAACCTAACGTAGGGCTGGTTTGGTATTGCTGGGCTTTGAAAAAAAGTTGCTTCTATTGTGCTGTGAGAATAAGCAGCAGAGTGTTTGGTAAACATTTTTGTAAAAGTGCTTTTTGAAAAAAAAAAGCAGTATGATAGTGTTTGGTAAACTTTTATGTAAAACATCCGTGATTGTGTAAAATGATCAAAAATGGTATAATACTAGATGTGCTATTAATTTAATTTTCTTAACAAATAAGGTGAATTACTAAATATACTTTATTTTTAAAAGAAAAATATTTATAAACTTTATCTTAAATATTAATTAGTACTGACAAACTACTTCAATTGAAATATTTTAGACTGAATAGCTAGAATTCATTAGTACAATATTGTTAATGTACTTGAAGGTAGTCTAATTAGATGCATTCATCAAACTTGCCGCTATTCTATTTCTTAATGCCTCTATCTCATGTGATCCTTCAACTTGATATTTTTCTTCTTTGATTTCTTATCCTTGTCCTTATCAACCTCCTCAACATCTCCTTCCTCTTCCTTCTTCGTTTCCTCTTCTTCATCGTCGCTGATTTCTTTCTCAGTAATCTTCTCAGTCCAGAGATAGATTAGATAGTTGATGAACTCAAAGTGCTTCTTCACAAGGTCCTTGATCCTCCTCTCTTCCTAATACTCCAACTGATCACAACCCAACAAAAAATTAGTACCCAATTTTTCTCTTTAATCATATAAAGGAAATACTTAATCAATTAGCTTGGTTCTTTACCTGATCCTCCTTGGGGAAGAGGGTAATCTTGGTGTCACTGCCAAGCTGTTCGTCGCTGACATCCCTTGTGACAGTGAAGGAACCATCAGCCTGTGACTCCCAGATGTATTGCTCATCGTCGTTGTGCTTGGTGGTCACAATAACCTTCTTGGCAGCAAGATAGGCAGAGTAGAAACCAACACCAAACTGCCCAATCATGCTCACATCATCTCCGGCTTGCAATGCTTCTATGAACTCTTTGGTTCCTGACCTTGCAATTGTACCCAAGTTGTTCACCAAATCTACAAAAAGCCAATTGCAATCAGCTTCACAGCTTATGAACATAATCATAGATGATCAAACAGCTAAAACAACTGGACAAGGAAAGACACTTGAACAAATATTCAACTAAAAGCTCGGTTGTATTGGATGCATCATTCATGTCAATTAATCTAAAAATCCACGAATTTTTAGCTACAAATGGCAATACCATGCATATCATTTACCAGCTGTAGCAATGGCAATACCATGCATATCATTTACAAATGGCAATACTTTGAGTGCCACAGCCCATACCAATGGTAATACCATGCACATCATTTACCAGTTGTAGCAAATACAGAATGACGACGCTTCTATTTTATTCTAAGCATTAAGATCGTGTTGCTTGATAAAACAAAAGATTAAATATTGGGTTCATATCTTCATTCTCTTAGACACCTATTTGTGCCTCACCTTTCTATTACTATAAGAAGACGATGTATATCAAGTGCAAACGTTGTACAAGTGAACGTAAAAGACAAAAACATAACATATAGTTGTAGCAGCCTTGTTCTGTACTTGTAAAACAACGACGAAGAGTAAAACAAAAATTGGAACTCATGACAAGCCACTGGGGTTAGCCCCGTGGTGAAGGAAGTGGGATGAGTAAGAGTAGGATATGTGTATTTGGGTCAGTTCGCATTAACAAATTATGAAAGCTATATCTGGGCAGAAACATACAAAGTTATATATGGGGAGAAACATATTAAAATATGATACATTTTAAAATACTGGACTCAGTTAAAATACATTTTAGTTTTCATTTCTCTAGCAATTGTAGGAACAAGTTAAATTGCTTTGTCAGCTCCACAAATTGGTATACATTTATTTGGTTACTTAATGCTAAGTTATTGTTAAGGTGGGAAGAATCAAGGAGAAACGTGGCTATAACGATCAATGGCCATATAATATCAAAATATACACAAACGAGTTTGGAAAAAACAAAGGCGACGCATGTTTAGTCTATGAAGATCCCTCTGCTGCACATTCAGCTGGTGGATTTTACAATGGTAACTCTTTTGCTTTTATTTTGCATGGTAAGATGATGTTTATTCTAACTGAGTATTGTGCTTACAGATTAAAGTCGTCCTATTCTAACTGGGTATTGTACTAGTGAAGGCCTTCACATTAGAAGTCTAGAATTAGAAAAGTTGAAGCATCTCTGTATCAAGTTTCAATCATGTGACCTAAACATTTCTTCATCTTCTTTTTTTTTTAATTAGAGGTTAGTTTATTAATCCATTATAAGAATGCAACCCTTAACACACCACCTTACAGCACAACCTGATGACAATCATGCACCACATGCATACATGTTCACGAAGGCACTCCTCTTGTAGTTGAATATTCGTTCAAGATTTGTTATTTAAGAACCCATCATTCATGTTAATTAATCTAAAAATCCACTCTAACTAATTGCCAATATCCAATACATGACATATATAATATGACAGATTAAAATCAGCAAAATATAACCATCCAAACATCATTGAAGAAAAACACAAAGCAAGAACTCACCAGTAAGCAGGATGTGATTCAAAATCTTCTAGTTTCCAAACTTTCCCTGTAAGTGGCTCCGGAATCTAAAACCAATTCCCAAACAATCAAGAAAATGCAATCAGAAGTGTCCTTAAATTATAGTAAATTACAGAACCAATATATTAATGAAACCCATAGATATATGAACCCCAGATTCAAATAGATCTACAGAAAAAATTGAAACAGGAAAAACTTAAAAGAAAGACTCTGGGAATAAAGCTTCATGCTTAACAAACAAAGCAACAAAACCCATAAATTAAATGTCTAAAACAAGCTTTTTAAACCCAGAAAAAGCTATTAACCCAAAAAAAAAAAAAACCCAGAAAAGTTAACACATTTTCCATAAAAAAAGCAAAGAAACCTGAAATTCATAAAAAAACAACAGAACCCAGAAAAGATAACAAGAGAGATCGAGCTGGAGAACGACAGAGATCACTGGGAGGAAGGAAGTTTCAGGTTGGAGATTGAGTTTTGGGGCGACAAGTTGGGAGTGAATGAGTGGACGGGAGGGAGTGAAGTGAGATGCCAGAGTAAGGAAGAGAAGTGAGAAGTGAGACATGAGAGGGTAGGATGACCATTTGAAAATTTTCATTAAATGATACTGTTCACCCGTGTTTTCATAATATAAAGCTGTTTTTTGAAAGCAGCAAATAGTCTGCTTCCACTTTTCAGCTGTTTCTGGTAGCAACTTTAAAAACAAGTGCTTTTTTTTTTTCTGAGTTATCAAACACAATTCAGACAACAACTTTTTTTCATCCCAGCTTTTAAAAAAATTTAAGCAGTCCCAAACGCAATCGCAGTTGTTTTCATGAGTTGGATAAGTTACAATGTGGTGCTTCTATACCAAGAAGTGATTTTATATGGATAAATTGAGTGATGTGTGAAATGGTAAATGTAATTAATCCTTCAACAAAACAAACAGTAAAAGGAGTACCTATTCCCATCCAGCCTTCTGTTTTCTGCTTATCATACCTCTTCAATTTTGCTTATTTTTTGTTAGTCATATGAAAGATAGTGCAATACCGTGGGACCAAAATATCTAACAAACTGGACTGGATATCTCTATTATAGAGAGTTTATAAAAGTAATTTAGACATTATTAGTTTATATTAGTGTTTCACTTCTGTACATTCATTCTATTTTCTGTGTCGTATGGTTTTACATGAGAATTCCGTCGTAATAGCATGTTGCAATAGCATAAATGTAACTTTGTATTTGGTTTGTGTTTAAAACTTAGTCCACATGGTGAATGTTTTTTCTTTCTTTTCAGCTTAGTATTTGAGTTGTGTTAGATTGTCAAAGAATTCAGTAAAAAGGCTTTCCAGATATAGCTGATTTTTTACTTCAAAGGTTCGTGCATGTTTCTCCATAATTTCATTGGTTAACTTTTTTCACAGCTGCGGCACAAGTCCTACTATTCCAGGTAAGCTTCTTTGGTGAAAGTAGCCGAGTATTTGAACTCTTGCACTCCGATTGAAAGTGATGTTTTCGAAGCTTTAAAAGGTCTAGGGGATAATATTTTGGAACAAAACGCTGTGGTGGTTCTGAATGGCATGAACAATCCGGAAAATGCTTTGCTTGCGCTTAACTACTTTCAGCAGAGGTTGAAACTGAAGCGGGAGGTGATTTCGTATAATGTGACTTTGAAAGTGTGTAGGAAGGGTAAGGATATGGAGAGAGCAGAGAAGCTGTTCGACGAAATACTCCAGAGAGGTGTTAACCCCGATAATGTTACCTTTTCGACTATGATTAGTTGCTCTGGGATGTGTTCTTTGCTTGATAAGGCTGTGGAGTGGTTTGAGAAGATGCCCGGTTTTGGGTGTAATCCGGATGATGTTACCTATTCGGCTATGATTGACGCCTATGGACGTGCGGAGGTTGAAATGGCTTTCAGTTTGTATGACCGGGCCAGGACTGAGAAGTGGCGCATTGATCCAGTGACGTTTTCTACGTTGATCCAAATTCACGGGCAATCGGGGAATTTTGATGGGTGCTTGAATGTTTATGAGGAACTGAAAGCTATAGGGGCTAAGCCAAACTTGGTGATTTATAACACTTTGTTGGATGCTATGGGAAGAGCTAGGAGGCCTTGGCAGGCCAAGAAAATTTACCGAGAGATGATAAGCAAGGAGCTTTCACCAAATTGGGTAACCTATGCAACTCTTTTAAGGGCCTATGGTAGAGCTCGTTACTGTGATGATGCTCTTAATGTTTATAAAGAGATGAAGGAAAAGGGATTGGAGTCAAAAGTAATTCTCTATAACACCCTTTTAGCTATGTGTGCTGATGTTGGTTACACCGATGAAGCCGTTGAGATTTTTGAAGAAATGAAGAGTTCTGAAACACTGAAGCCTGACAGTTGGACCTTTTCGTCCATGATTACCATATATTCCTGTAGCCTGGAAAGTCATAGAGGCAGAAGCAACATTGAATGAAATGTTGGAAGCTGGTTTCGAGCCAAATATCTTTATTTTGACATCACTCATCCAATGCTACGGTAAGGCAAAACGCACTGATGACGTTGTCAAAATATTCAATCAACTCCTAGAATTAGGTATAACACCAGATGAATGTTTCTGTGGTTGTCTCCTGAATGTGATGACTCAAACACCAAAGGAAGAACTTTGCAAGCTTGTGAATTGCATTGAGAGGGCTGATGAAAAACTAGGGTATGTGGTAAGACTTTTAGTGGAGAAGAAAGAAAGTAGTGAAAAGTTCAAGAACGAAGCATCACAACTTTTTAACTCGATTGGTTCGGATGTAAAGAAGGCTTGCTGCAATTGCCTGATTGATCTTTGTGTGAACCTCAATCTCTTGGAGAGAGCCTGTGAGCTACTAGACTTGGGGATCACACTTCAGATATATATAGGCTTACAGTCAAGTTCTCAGACCTAGTGGTCTTTGTATCTCAAGGGCCTCTTTCTTGGGGCAGCTCTGACTGCGTTACATGTTTGGATCAATGACCTATCTCGGGTATTGGAATCCGGTGAGGAGCTTCTGCCGTTGCTTGGAATTAATACTGGACATGGGAAACATAAGTATTCAGAGAAAGGGCTGGCAAGTGTATTTGAGTCGCATGTGAAGGAATTGAATGCTCCATTCCATGAGGCCTCAGACAAGGCTGGCTGGTTTTTGACAACAAAAGTTGCAGTCAAGTCATGGTTAGAGTCTAGAAGTTCATCTGAGTTAGTTACTGCTTAGATGTTGGGCTGTTTGGTTTACCGACAAAGCTCATCACACTGAAAATGTAATGTGAAACTGGTATTTGCTGCTTCTCAGTTCTCTATTTATATGTTTTTGGAATTCTCTCTGGGCGTAGAGAACAGCTTTGTACCATTAGAATTCAACTATGAAATCTTCCTTCATTCGTCTTACGAAGTTAGTGAAGTTCTTAGAAATATTGCATCGTACTCAGTAGTAATGCGCTTGAAAGAGAAGGGACCCTTCCCCATTGTTCCTGTTGTCCCCCTCTCTCTCTCTAGGACCGCCCTCTCTCTTTTTAAATTTATAATCAATACATGTAGGATAGGACATCAGATGGGAACAAGGTCGATGATGTGATTTGAATAACATCATCGGTTAGATCATAGCTGAATGAGTTTTAAGAAATCGAAGAAGTGAAAAAGTCCAGTTTCCTTTCGTATGCTACGAAAGTTTTGCAAAATTCCTTATGATCAAAACCATTTGGGAGTCGGTCCAACATGAGAATGACAGGAGGTACAAAACAAGTGTATTGTTGTAACTTCTGTTTCCATTCAAGCTATTGGAAAGGCCAATTGGCACCATCACCAGGGCCGGCCCTAAGAATTTGAAGGCTCTAGGCAAGCTTTAAAAGTGGGGTTCTAGAATCATCAAACCTCCGACTCTTTGTACATTGATACGTAGAAGAAATAAATCGTTAATACATAAAAAAAAATGTATTTCTACATCAAATACTAATATAATGGTAAATATCAGTTTACTACCCTCATGTTTCGTGGTTTTCAACATTGAGTACATCAATTTTTTTCATCTCAGAGTCATACCTAAAATGTTAATTTTGAACAATCTCATACATTCGTTAGTCAAACTGTTAAGTCTGTCGTTAACTGATGGCGTGGGGCCTATGTGGAAAATGACCAGACGTCATGTGTCATTACAAATATTAAAATAATTAATTAAAAAAATTATATAAAATAAAAAAAATAAACCCTGAACCCCCTCCACCCCACTACCTTTCCATCCCCACCACCCCTCACCCACCGACACCCTTCCTCTTCCCTGAAACCCACCCCAACCATCAAGCTTTTTCTCCTTCCCCAAAAACCCATCCCCTTCCCTTCCCCCAAAATTCCCTCTCTTCCTTCTCTTCTCTGCAAATCAAAACAACAGAACAACCCTTGGTGTGGAAATTGAGGGTCGACGTAATGCAGGCGGTCAGATCTCGGCCGAAAGCACCGGCAGACGGCGGATACGAGGTCTCGAGAGTGGAAAGGGAGTGGGCAGTGGTGACGGCGACTTGCTTGAACCCAAAACCTCCCTATTCGTCTTTTACTAGAAAACCCTAACAGCTACATCCTCCATTTTGCAGAAAACCAAAACAACGTCTCTGATTTCCCTGATTTCTTCAAAACCAACGAAAACCCTCAATCTTGGATCTCACAAGTCATAACCATCTTTGAGTCTTTACCTTTTTATCAAATCAGAGACGTCTGAGCGTCCATTCCTTAAATTCCAGGTCCATATAGTCAAACGAACCCTCGAATCTACAATCAAGGCGAGCTGCCGTCATCTGACCCAGGTCGAAGTTACTGCCATGTGCGATTGACAGGGTTCCATTCGTCTACTCGAAACGCCGCTACCACTAGTGGAATCGGGGGACCCAAATTGCCATCCCCACTTAACCCGAGAGACGCCGATGCTGAAAACTGGCTGGAGGCATTTCTCTGAAACTGCCGCATACCACCTATTGCCTGGAAGAAACCCACGAATAAGATAAAACCTTTATATTTTTCTCAAATGGAGGATGGTGAAGTGAGGGGTTCACAGTGGTGGTTATGAGGGTTTCACAGGGATGGAGGGGTGGAGGGCATGGAGGGATGTCGGGTGGGGAAGACGAAGGGGGAGTGATGGAGATGGGGGTTGGTGGTGGTTTGAGTTCAACATCGTCTTTCAGTTTGAATTTTACTGAAACTTTGAAAACTAATTGAATTGGGGTTTTCCGTTTGATCTGAAAGAAGTGAACTTTAGGGTTTGAGAGTGGGGATTGAATTGAAAGATTAGGTTTTGGGGATGATTTGATCGGAATATTTTGTTGTTTTGATTTGCAGAGAAGGGGGTTCTGGGTTTTTTTCGTGTTTATTTTTATTTTTATTTTTTTATATAGTTTTTTTAATTAATTATTTTAATATTTTAATATTTTTAATGACATGTGGTGTCCAGTTGTCACATCCCGGGCTCGACTCCATTGTAGCACGATATTGTCCGCCTTGGGCCCTGACCACATCCTCACGATTTTGTTTCTAGGAACTCATACGAGAACTTCCTAGTGGGTCATCCATCCTGGGATTGCTCTCACCCAAACTCGCTTAACTTCAGAGTTTTGATGGAACCCGAAGCCAGTGAGTTCCCAAAAGGCCTCATGTTAAGTAGAGATGAGAATATACATATAAGGCTTATAGGATCCACTCCCCTGGGCAATGTGGGATGTCACAATTCATCCCCCTTAGGGGCCCGACGTCCTCGTCAATACACATCCGGCCAAGGATTGTCTCTGATACCAAACTAACACACCCCGACCAAAATCAAGGCGTGACGGCCAGCACACCTTGATTTTGGTCGGGGTGTGTCACCAGTCATTGTCCACATAGAAGCCACGTCATCAGTTAACGGTAGACTTAACAGTTTGACTAACGGATGTATGAGACTGTCCCAAAATTAACACTTTAGGTATGACTCTGGGACGAAAAATAAACTTGATGTACTAAATGTTTAAAACCACGAAACATGAGGGTAGTAAACTGAGATTTACCCTAAAAATTAATACTACAAGAAAGATATAAAAACATTAGATAATACATGTCTTGCATTTTTAGATGCAAATGTACTAATTGAGTTTACATAATCTAAATTGTTATTAGATTAGGCTTTCTAATTATATTTGGAAAAACAATACTTGTTTGGGGAATCTTCATCATGTTTCGAACAAGAGACGGGAACCAAATAAATGTCTTCTTTTCCACTACGCCACCAAGTTTTTTGTGTTATCCATCTTACTTTAAAAGTATTTATATACTAATACATACATATAAAAAAAATAAAATTGGGGGCCCGTAGAAGTCGGGGGAATTAGGCGATCGCCTTACTTGGCTACCCTCAGGGTCGGTCCTGACCGTCATAGACTGAAGTGACCTTAGATGCTTACTTTCTAAGGCTTATTTCCGCTATCATAATTCTCGAGACACAGGGCATGTTATTTGCTTGTGATAGAATCATGTAGACATTTCTTTACTCAATGGGACCAATATATGGGACACAACAACACCATTCAAATTTTAACGGGATCAAAATGTAAAGAACCTCACTCTTTACATTTCTCTACTCAATGGGAAGAGAAATTTATTAAAAGTTGAATAGAAACGTTTACATCTCTTCTACAAATGAGACAGATGAGCGGGAATATATTAACTTTCATGTGTTATGTATAGACACCACTGATTAATCCCTTGTACGGTGCACTAAGACAATAAAATATGGTTATTGGTCGCATGGTTTTATCATTTTCTGAGCCAGGATGCTTATCAAAAGGTCAATTTTCCAAAGGGTTTTGTGCGTTAAGATCAAGGGACTTCCTAGGTGGGCGTGTGTGGGTGTACTGTATTCGTGGCCAACTTTGCTGGGTGAAGTCTGGTGACGAAAAATCTCAAATCCATTTTAAAATCTACTCTAAGTTTGGGCTCCGATATTTCAGAATCAGCTCAAATTCTTCTTGGTGATTTTTATCTACAAACTTAGGCCTGTGGTGGGTATATTGAAGCTGCTCTTGGAATTGAGGTGATTTTAAAAAAATAGTTGTCAAAATAAGTTGGAGGTGTTTTTGATGTATGGCAAACACTTCAAAACAACTTTATTTCAAAATTCAGATGAAAAAAGCTAAAATAAATAAGCTGCAAAAAGCAGCTTTAGAAAACAACTTCTGGTTGAAAACACGGAGCTACAGTAACCTTTTTAATGAAATTTTCAATTTACCAACCTTGCCCTCCCTTTTCTCCTGCCTTCGCCCTGGTTTTTCCTCACACTTTCAGATCCCTCGCATGCCCTCTCTATCAAAACCCTTTCAGACTCTCTCACACACCGCCGTCGCCTTCACTCCTTCCTCTGGTAAGCTTCTCTTGTCTAAAATTTCGTTATTTATTTGTTTAAATTTTTAAATTTGGGAATGGGGAGAGTGAGAGTGAAAGAGGGGTGGGAAGAGGTGTTTGCTGACTGTATGGGTGTCAGGAAAAAAAAACTGGGGATGGAGGAAACAATTGGGGAAAAAATTCGGGGAAAAAATAGGGTTTGTGGAGGAAACAAGAAAAATTGAGAGATAAAAAAAAATTGGGGAAAAAATTAGGGTTTGCATTGCTCCTACTGATTCATTGCCATGACCTTGAAGTTCTTAATGCCCATTTCTAGGATTTGCCTAATTTCCCCTTTCAGATTTTCAAGACTCCATTTTTTATTCTTTCTATTTTTGTTGACTCATATTTTACTTGTTTTGTGCCAGTGCTGATTAAAGTTACTTACATTTTGTTGACTCATATTTTTGTTGACAAACTCAGTGTCAAGTGAAGTAGACATGCCAGACCTTTCAATGGATATCGTTGCCAATATACTCTCGCGACTTCCTCTTAGCTCCTACTGACTGATTCATTGAATCTGGGAAAACGATATCATGGGATGTAACTGTACAAGTAATCATCTGCATGCATTAATAATCTGTTTGTGTGTGTAGTCACTTTGTACAGGATAGAGCCTATTAAAAGAGCCTTTTAAAAGAGCCTTTCACAGAGAAAAGAGCCTTCTTTGTGTCTTTATCCAACTTTATTGTTGCCAAAGCGCCCTTCACAGAGAAAAAAATAACCAGTCAAGCTTATTTATGTAATCATGGGTCATCAACTTATCATAAGAGGCACATATATACACGCAAAGTCGCAGACACGCACATTAGAGAACTAAGGGCAACAGTTATAAGCATCAAATATGCCAGGAACTTTTGATTCAGTTTTAAGAGCATCTACAATGGGCTCCCTAAATGAGCTCCTAGTTAAAATTTAGGGACGATTTGGAAAAATTCACCCCGTCACTCCCTATCTACCTCCTAAAATAAAGATTCTACAACGAGCTCCTAAAGCTAGGGAGGGAGAAAAGAGCTCCTAAGGCTCCTAGCATTATGATTGTTCTGTGAGTTGCTGTTGATTGTTTGATTGTTTTGTGAATTGCTACAATGGCTCTTCACCCGTTCAATAAGCAAGTGAAGATTTTTTGCTACAATGGTTTTCATAACTACATACGGAGGTATTCTGAACGTGATCGTCATTTTGATGACCCTAGAGACTTTTGTGAAGAGAGCAATAATAGTGATGATGATGATGAATAATACCAAAATTATGAAGTTGAAGAATCACATGAGATAGAGGCATTAAGAAATAGAATAACGGCAAGTTTGATGAATGCATCTAATTAGACTACTTTCAAGTACATTAACAATATTGTACTAATGAATCCGAGCTATTCAATCTAAAATATTTCAATTGAAGTAGTTTGTCATACTAATTAATATTTAAGATAAAGTTTATAAATATTTTTCTTTTAAAAATAAAGTATATTTAGTAATTCATCTTTATTTGTTAAGAAAATTAAATTAATAGCAGATCTAGTATTTTACCATTTTTTGTCATTTCACACGGTCACAGCTGTTTTACATAAAAGTTTACCAAACATTGTCATACTGTTTTTTTTTTTTTTTTTTTCCCAAAAGCACTTTTACAAAAAAGTTTACCAAACACTCTGTTGCTTTATTTCACAGCCATTTATTCTCACAGCACAGCAAAAACAGCTTTTTTTTCAAAGCATAACAATACCAAACCAGTCATAAGTTCGTCGGTAGAATTTCTACCCTGCGCACGGGTTGCCTACAAGGGATTTAACACTCATCACATCCGTTGGTTTTAAGGCCTTCGAGGTGGAAGGCTGGGATTTCATCTCCAACACGTTACGCGCAGGCGATGAGCACACCTGCGCACAGCATAGAGCGGCACCAGAAAGTACACAAGTTACCTCTGCCTAATCTTTGTATTTACGTTTGTACTATTTGCATGACAGCGATATCTAACCACCGATCCCGCGCATCCACAAAACAACGTAATTCAAAGACAAAAGAGTTATAAAACATTCAATATGTCCAAAATGTTGTAAAATCGATTATGTGTGTACAGTGGAATAAATAAAAAGACACAAAATTTACGAGGTTCCTCTACAGTCAGTGTGACTGGAGTACGTCCTCGGGCAGCAGTGATGCTTTCATTATAATTTGGAATAATAGGAGTACAAAGATAACTCTATGTATTCTCTTTTCTCCTCTTCCTCTCTTTCTTTTTCTGCTCAATATTCAAAGCATACGGAGTGCTCTATTTATAGAGCAACTCCAAGCACACATCTTTGACAATATAACTTCCTTTATCTCCCAAGTCAAGATTAACTGCACGGGCATTGAAAACCCACCCAAAGTCTGCAGTTTCTATGTGGGCATTCAATACCCACTAGACTTTTCAACACTCCCCCTTGGATGCCCACATATCAACATGAGTTGTCTCGTTAAGATCTTGATCTATTTTTGGATGCTCCCCCTTGATGAGTATCTCCCCCTGATTTCAAATTATTTAAGCTGATCATTGATCCTGCTGCTTTAGTCTTTTAGCGGTGATAGTTGCCGAAAGAGGTGTTTCACTTGTTGTTAACTTTCCACAGACTTGTTCTTGAACTGGGTTGGAGGGCCTTTCTGCTAGACTTCCTCCAAAGATCTGAATTTACCTATTTTATCTGGAGCTGAATTTGATTCAAGGGTGGTGGACACTTGATCTTGAATCGGACTTGTGATTTCTTCAAAAGCCGTCCAGGCTTGATCTTGAATGAAATTGGATCATGAGGAGCTTCATGTGACAAGTGATCTTAGGCTTTGTCGAGGATGAACTGACATGTGTTTGTTGTGGTTGTCTCCACATGCTTCAATATATCATTTTCACTTGCCTTACTTGCTCTCCTTGCAGAAATGATATTTTCCTTATGCAGGTTTGGCATCTTCTCTTGTAGTATTTGTCATCTGATACAGGAGTGGAATGCAAACCTTGTATTTGAATGGACCATCACTTCTTGGTGGCAGCGCAAGTTTGAGTGGAGATTCCGACATATTGCTTTCTTTATCCTTGTCTTGGCAGGTAAGAACAAGGACAAAGGAAAGGACAGGGAGATTGCATGATATGAGATACTCTTGCTCTCGTCCCTGATGATATGAGATACTCTTGCTCTGGTGTGACTTGTTTGTAGAGGTATTCTCAGAGAGGGGGGAAACTGAGTATTTCGACATACTTTGTGAAAGATGCATTCTCGGAGATGAGGAAGAGTTAGATATTTTTCAGTTCTGCCTTGCCGTGGAGGACAAAGGTTGACATATATATTGATTTTCCAATAGCAGGTAGTAAAGCTGTGCCTTTACTCTTGTCAGCAACTGTGGTGTAATTAGAACAGTAAGATTCACGCGTTTTCAACTTTATCAGAAATCTTTGACAAAGTTGCACGTGATATCCAAGAGCTGAGATTGCGTCTGAGAAATGTTGACAGACGTCATACAGGGAAATCCAGCTTTTGAGATTCGAAAATCGGTGTCTCTTCAATTTTTGAATAAGTGGTCCTGTTGCCCCTCCTATTATAGAGAGATCAATTTTGTTGAGAAACACTCAAAAAAATTGTTGCCTGCAGAAATTTCCCTTTCTTGCACTTCTGAGATTTTATTTGACTTCCTTCATCATTTCTGAAAATGGCTTGCCCATCTAACATTTGTTTAGATTTGAGTCTCAGGATTGATACAGACGAGCAGCATCAGGATAACATATGGCGCCCGTCCTTCTCAACTTCTAATGGTCCTCTTACGGTTGGGGACTCTGTGATGAAGAATAACATAACTGCTACAGTGGTAGCCAGAAATCTTCTCACTCCAAAGGACAACAGAATCCTTTCAAACCGGTCTGATGAGGCGGCCGTCCAAGACTCATTGGCTCTCAGTGTTCAATGTGCGGGTTCTGTATCCAATATGGGACAGCGCCTACTTGCTCGAACTCACCAAGTTGAATCATTAATGGCTGAGGTGGCAAGTCTTAAACAAGAGATTAGAGGGCTCAAGCATGAGAATAGAGTGTTACACATGCTAGCAAATAATTACTCTACGAGCATGAAAAGAAAGCTCGACCAGCTACTGGAATCCGAAGGTCGGACTCAAAATGACAATCGGGGGTTCGAGTCTTTATTCCAAAGACATCCATTGTCTTAGCTGTCTGGAGTTCCACCAAGTATTGAGACTCCAAATAATCAACTTCTGGTGTTTTCCCCTTCTAGGGTACTTCCGAGTACTGAGGCTTCACATGAGTAACATTTGTGAAGGTTCCCTTCTGTTTGTTTGTTTTAACTCATGTGTATGTAATTTCTCGGAGATATTAATATATAAGCTTTATTTCATTCAGTGTATTGTGTTAAATACAATAAAGCATATATTTCACTAAGATGTGGTACTTCTGGACCAAATATCAATTTATCTTTACTCTTGCGAAGATAAATGATTATTCTTAGTGTCTAAATCATTTGAGTATTCAACTCATAATCTTCAATCCATACGATTCTTTAATGTCATAAATATCATGGATAAGATTCGTGTTGGCATATTGTTCGATTCTGCAGTTCGAGACAATATTTCTCTCAACACTTTATAATCTTTCTTGACTCTTCAGGAGTCCCAATTTAATATCATCAACTCTTGCAAGAGATTTTAGTATGTTGCAACAATACCATAATGAAAATACTCACTAAGGCAATTTATACCATCCATTGGTATTGAGTACATATTTTATGCTTTACCCTTATAGGGTTTTCTTCAAGCAATTTGAATCCTTCAGGGATTTTCTACATTTCATGACACATTTTCCTTTAGAATTTATACAGAGCAATTCGCTTCCATGTATATTTGAGGGATTTACTCATGGAGATATGATGTGGGCGACTCATAACCCTTTGTATATAATTCTCCATTCATATGAACTCCTTTACAACCTTGTGTCATATCATGTGAGTGTATTTCACAGTATTACAAATGCCCATATGTAACCTTCTAGGTTCAACATCTTTTGGCTATTTGTATTGTATCCAAGTATATAAGTCTATTTTTCCACGTTCTTACAAAATTGTAATGGAATTGCCTATTTCCATTTTGGCCCATAATTTCGTTGATGGAAAAAGAACGGGACTCAATATCACCACAGCTCATTGATGAATTTAGTAGCTACTTGTAAGAACCAAAATTACCATTGGTTATCATCAATTTGTGATCCCATATTCTCATGTACATGCGCATGCATAAAAGCTTTTCATTTCTTTTGGGATATCCATTGCCTCTTCAAGGGCATTACACTATCTCTTCCAGGATAGTTATAATTTAGAGAATACGGATCATAACCTCCTTTTGAGCGTTATAGAGCTTGGATTTTAATCTCCACTTCGGGAGTTGAGTCATTGGAACTTATACGTCTATCATGCTTCATGCATGAGACATCAATATTCCCATATCCGCGGATTAACCTTTTCGGGACAAGTATCCTTGCGGCAACTGTTATGCATTTGGCATGTGACAGTTATGCAATAGTTCAGTAGTGCCATATTCTTCTTCTTTCGAAGGACTGAACCTTCTGAGTCTGAGGATCTGCCACGCTTCAAGCGTGTAACAGATAAATCATTTGCTGCCCTATTATTTTGTCCAATAGGGACATTAATTCTTGTAGGCACACTTGCAGCAAGTATATGTGATTTTATCATTTTCGTTGCATCATTAAATGCATCTGGCATTTGATTTGCATATCGTTGCATCATTCAATTATTCTCACTTTGCTTGTATATTGATTGCTTCATGAATCAAAATACGACAAATTCTCTTCGTTTTTCTGGAACGGTTTTTTCTCATCATTCTTCTGGAATGATATTTGCTCATCGTTCTTCTGAAACAAAGTTATTTTCTCCCCCTAACGGCAGGAAAACTGTCTTATCAAAATGACAGTCCGCAAACCACGCGGTAAATGTATCCCCAATCAAGGGTTTTAAATATTGAATGATAGATGATGTTTAACATCAATGCCTAATCCGCAATGATGCTTCATTTCAGTATGTTGTGGCAGTGCAATAGGCACATAGATAACACAACCAAAAACTCGTAAATATATAATGTTTGGCTGGTTCCCAAACACGAGTTGTACTGAGAAGTATTGATGGTTGTCAACAGGTCTCAACCAAATCAATAATGCATCATGTAAAATGACATGTACCCATGTAAAAACGGGCAATTTTATTTTCGTGAGCAGAGCGCGGGTAATCTATTTCATCCGCTTAATAAATGCTTCTGCTAAACCATTTTTGAGTATGGACATAAGGAACTTCTGGTCCTTATTTAATAGTCTTACAGACCGAGACTCTTATGACTTTTATTGCAATTAAGTTGAGGCACTGCGGCACTTCAAACTTAAGATACTTATTAAGGAACTTTATGTCCTAATCTTGAGGATCAAGGGACTTTATGCCCGATCTTTTTGTTTGATGGAACTTCAGGTCCAATCATTTTTATATGATGAGGATCAAGAAACTGCAGGTTCTGATCTGATCAAGGAACTTCGGGTCCAGTATGTACTCATAGTAACAAAAAGAAGTACAATAAATAAATTAAAGCAATAGGCGGTAATTCCAGCCATAATGAATAAATTGCATTTAAGTAAATAAAGCTTGTGACAGGGGCTTTAATTCAGCACCATTCACATAAATCAAAACTTAAAGCAGTAGGTGGTAAAACCGTCCATGATAAATAAATTACTTTAAAGTAAATAGAACTTGTGAAAGAGTTTTAAACCAACACCAATTCACATAAATAACAAGAAGTATCATACCTCATTTTATTTATTGTTTTTCTTTCTTTTGTCAGCACTTATTCAAACTTTACTTTTCTTATTTCTGTAGCATGGTGCTATGCACCAACAGAAACCATTTATATCATTTTGACTAAATGGTGTCATGCACTATTCAAATCATTTTATATATATATATTTTTCTTATGTTGCAGTCAACATCTTTTTTTTTTCTTCTTCACATGTGCCTTGTCATTCTATCAATCCCCATTTTCTATCCTTCCTTCTCTGTCTCTGCCAGTCTCGAAACGCAGGGCCAGCTGGGTAGTTATGGAGGTTGCCCAAATTCAATTCAATCCAAAAAAAACTACTAGAGACTGGCGTTGTTCTTGCATGACCCAGGGAACATGTCATCGTTAAGCAAGAACTTCCCTACAGAGACATAGATGACAGTGGGGTTGACGGAGGCACAAGAGAGGGAGGCCTGTGTGGATTCATTCTTGCCATCACCATCTCAAACAACCAAGTATTCATGGGAGTTCTCAAGATTCGTTGAAAACAACGTGATCTGGGTTTCCAAGTCTGATGAGATTCTTCTGGATCTCTGGAAACCAGTTGTCAAGTACGAGTTTTCTCATCTCGTGACGACTTCAGGTCGTAAATTTCAATTCTCATCGGAATTCAGTGGGGCGCTTCTGGCGCAGTGGGAAAGACGAAAAATGGACATACCTTTTATTCTGTGAGATTTTAGATGATGGAGGTGAGAGGTGGATAGTGCTTCATCGGATTTATGGCGTTGTGCTTTCCACTGACATAAGAGCTTCTCGTGCTGATAACGTGTTGTAAAATCGATTATGTGTGTACAGTGGAATAAATAAAAAGACACAAAATTTACGAGGTTCCTCTACAGTCAGTGTGACTGGAGTACGTCCTCGGGCAGCAGTGATGCTTTCATTATAATTTGGAATAATAGGAGTACAAAGATAACTCTATGTATTCTCTTTTCTCCTCTTCCTCTCTTTCTTTTTCTGCTCAATATTCAAAGCATACGGAGTGCTCTATTTATAGAGCAACTCCAAGCACACATCTTTGACAATATAACTTCCTTTATCTCCCAAGTCAAGATTAACTGCACGGGCATTGAAAACCCACCCAAAGTCTGCAGTTTCTATGTGGGCATTCAATACCCACTAGACTTTTCAACACAAAATGCAAAGCTTAGCAATATTGTATGCATGCAGAAGCAGGAAGCAGGCAGGAAAGTGAAATCAATTTTTAATGTATAGAATCAAATCAAGAGAGCCAAAGGAGAACAAAACTATTATTATTAAATCATATTTCTTGATAAGCTGAGGTCACAAATATATATTAGCATAACAATTTTTAGTCGATCAAATAACAAGACAACGCACGTTGGTCTTGTATAAAGTAAAAACGATTAATTGAACCGGTATACATAATACGTATATCATATTTTCACGATTTTGAACCTTAAGTTGATCGGCACACATGCGTGTTGCCTGAGAATTCATCATTTTTTGTGTTGTCACAATCCCAGAAGCCAGTTCGCAACCACAAAATATGAATAAGTAGCTAGCTAGGCAACATGATACACCAGCACACTACTTTTGACCATTGTTAGGGTGTGTGGTGTACTACTTTCAAGTCTTGAAACCTCATTGCCCCAAAAAGATGATTAAGTGAAGGACTAATTAATTTAAATATCGTTGCACCTAATGTCCACTAATCTCATCCTCATTTCCCATGTCGGTTGTATCAAAACGAAACATATCGTGCGAGCCAAAAAGATGATTAAGTGAAGGACTAATTAATTTAAATATCGTTGCACCTAATGTCCACTAATCTCATCCTCATTTCCCATGTCGGTTGTATCAAAACGAAACATATCGTGCGAGCCAAAAAGATGATTAAGTGAATGATCTGTGATGCACTTAGTAAATGGACCACTAAAACCTTAACCAAGAAGAAAAGATCAAGTCGGATTGATCGTGAGAGCCAACCCACCTTTATGAAATTGGGACACTTGGAAGTTGGAACGGCTTTCGAGGCAGTAGCCACACATTTGTCATATGGAGCCCACGCTTTATGAATTTTGATAATAGGGTTTATCAAATTCTTTTTTTCTACGCCAAATTCCACATATATATGATTGCATCATGTATGTACGTGTGGTTCTAAAATGATGACGTATCCATTGCATCGAAGTCGTTGCCGTAATTACTAGACGTTTCTTCATCGGTTTGGATTAACAAACCAAACTTCAAGTAGCTAGTCAAAGTTGGTTGGCACCTGTTGTTACTTAAGATGTAGGGACAACTGGAAGAGTTTCCATGTGCAGCGTGGGGGTGCATGATCCATAATTGCACTTGACCAAACTATCGACCTTACAATATAGTTTTTTTCTCCATTAATTTGACCATCTTGAAATAATATTGGCAGCTCTCCACTCCACCAAACTTTATGTGAACTTTAATAATTATAATTAACTTCGGATGTAATTTTATTTTGATAATTAATCATTTACTTATAATAATATTAGCAGGAAGTTGGAAAGTAAGGAAGGTGAGGTGGGTGAATCAAATCCAGCACAGCATATGCAAGAAATTGCAACTTTAGGGGTCATCAGAAAGTCACTTCGTATAACGACAATCCTCAATCATTATAGCGTGAGATTTTTTAATATGTCTAAAATATAGAGTGGTACAATATGTATTATTATAAAAATATGAGTTACTTGTGTTAAAAAAAATTAATAATTTAAAAAAATAAAATTTCTCATCACTTGCATGTGGTTGTCCACCATATCATGAAATCAACCTTCCAATATCAACGTCTTCACATCCCATTGGCCCTATGTACGAACTATTGTGCGCTCTCTTTTTTTTTCACTCTTTCTTAACGGAAAAGGATCATCGCTTGGGGATTCTAGGGATCCCGTAATCGTGACAGTTTATCGTACATCGTGTGGTCAGAAATTATTTTAAATTTAAAAATTAAAATTAAATATAAATAATATCTAACGAAAACTGATCGTATGATATACAATGAATGGTCACAATCATGAGATCCCCAAGAAAAGAATCTCCTTTTCCTTTCTTAGCAAGCACTTTGTCATGATTTTTTTTTAATAAACCACTTCAATCAAATATTGCTTTCCTTCTCTTTCTCTTTGCTTTGTTCCACCGAATTGTATTCCTATTTTAATATATTTTTGTGTATATATATATATATGAGTCCGTTTCGTGAGAGCAGTCGTCCCATTCAATCATTTTAGTTGAGAAGTTATCATTTAGATCTGAGCCTGAGAGCATCCACTACTCACTACAATGGGGGAAAAGGAAAAGGTACGCAATATTTGGTATAGTTTGTGTTCTCTTCATTTTTTCTTCTTCCGAGGATAAGCAGATAACCAAAATGATGATTTCGTACGGCTAAAACTAGAAGGCTTTAAGCTCTTGTTTAAGTTTTGTTGTTCCTATTCTTTTATTTATATCCTAATAAGAATCCAAGTCCCCTCCTCTGTGCTATTTTGTTTTTTGCCTCTCTTTCTCTCTCTGTTACTGATTTTGCCACATACCTTCACGATGATTCTTCCCTGTCAGTCAGTCAGAACCCTGATTGTCCAGCAGCACTGTTCCACTTCTTTTTGTCTACACTTTTGCACAACAATCTTCTGTATCATTTATATATTTTCTGAAGATTCATTATTCTCAATATTTGGTTAATGTACATATTTTTTCTATTAATATTAATATGGGCAATTCAGGTTACGATTATGGTGCTGAAGGTGGATCTTCAGTGTCACAAATGCTACAAGAAGGTCAAAAAAGTTCTTTGTAAATTCCCTCGTGAGTCTCTCTTCTCCTTGATTCGTCTATAATTATTTGATGAAAAATCAAAGTTAAAGTTCTTCCTTTCTGGGAAATTAAGATCAATTTAGATTAAATGTCAACTGAGTACATTAATGTGTGTTTGTGAACAAGAGAAATACGAGACCAGATATACTACGAGAAGCAAAACCAAGTGGTGATCAAAGTGGTATGCTGTAGTCCAGAAAAGATAAGGGACAAGATTTGCTGCAAAGGTGGATGTGCCATAAAAAGCATCGAGATCAAAGAGCCAGAGAAGCCCAAGCCACCGCAAGTTGAGAAACCCAAAGAGCCCGAAAAACCTAAACCGGATGAGAAACCCAAAGAGCCTGAAAAACCCAAAGAGCCTGAAAAACCTAAACCGGCTGAGAAACCCAAAGAGCCTGAAAAACCTAAGCCTTGTCCTCCTCCTGTGCATCTGGTTCCTTGTGTGCCATGGTACCCACCGCCTGTCCGAACGTGTTGTACGGATTGTTACCATGGGCATGCAGGTGGGCCGTGTTACAGTGGTTATGGCCGAGGGCCACCCCCGTGCATCCAGTATGATGGTTACTATGGGAGGCCTGTGTATGACAGTTACGGCGGTTGCAGCAGGGGGTATTGTGAAGAAAATCCCTCAGTTTGCACAGTCATGTAAATCATCGATCATCTTATTGGATCGTGAAACCTTCTTCAATCTCGGGATAATATTTGAGCAGTGTTTGTTGTTTGATATTAATATTATAGGAGTGCCATATGGCATATATTGTTAAGTGAATAATAAAGTTGGTTGTTGATCTTGGTAGTTGTCAAGTCACTATCACGTTAATCTGTTCATTATATCGTTAATATAGACTACAGAGAGAAATAGATACATCCCATCGTGAAGATGAAGATGAAGAAGTTGGTGCCTGCTACAATTTTGAATGCAATTAAAGTTTCCCTTCCACATTCCCTTCTTTGTCCTGCGCAGTGCACATTCGTTTTTATTAGTTATTTCCTATTTTGCAAGTTGATTTTCATCAACTACCAATAAGAGATTGGTCAAGAGTGGAATTGAGGAGGTGTGAACAGAAGAATCTAGCTACCTTCCTCATTTGCATTTTTCACTTATCTTTCTCATTTATTAAGTGTAACATGAATTCTATTAACAAAAAAAAAATAAAAATTATTTCCTTTAAAAAAACTCATTATTATTTTTCTATATTTACCTTTCCAAAAGCTAACCTTTTTTCTCTCCTACCAGATTCAACTCGCATGCTCTAATCTAAACTACGTTTTTTTTCTTTCTTTACCAAAAACAAAAAGGGAACTTTTCATGCAAAGAGCTTGTATTATGTTTATTTTAATAAAAAAACTATTTTATAATTTTATTTAATTAAAAAGACTTAAATTTTAATGAAAACCCTTAAATTTTAATAAAAAGACAAAAGAATTTAAATTTTAATGAAAATGACATAATTTTAATATAAAAAAAAATTATAAAAAAGCTGACACGCGGACCCACGCATCCTCACACAAACTGTTTATGAAACTTTCTACACTGTTTATGAAACTTAACGGTACTACACTATTTATAGAACTACTACACTACACTAGTACACTGTTTATGAAACTGTTACATTGTTTTTATGAAACTTACGACACTGTTCATGAAACTTACTACATTGTTTATGAAAACTTACGACACTGTTTATGAAACTTACTACACTGTTTATGAAACTTAACGGTACTACATTATTCTCTCTCCTCTTCTTGAATTTTCTTGGCACATTCTCACATTCCAAACACATTTTCTTCTTCTAATTTTCTTTGATACTCATCAAATTTTCTCTATATCTCTTCAATTTTTTAACTTTCTACACCAATTACTTAATTTTCTTCTATTGTTCACCCATCAGCAGCTTCCTTTTCTCCTCCACCAAATGCAAATGTTGTGCCCTACAAACACAACACTAAATGCACTATCAAATTAAAGTAAATACTACAGTGACTGTAAATTGACATAATTATTCATTTTTCGTTACAAATTCACTAACATGAAAAAGCATTCGAACCCAACGACTTGACAATTCAAACTTCACCATGCCAACCCATAAAACACAAAGTAACATCCATTGATCACCTTCAAAATCAACCCAGCTATCTATTGCATTGCTTTCTCAGCATCACTACTCGAATCATCACTATCCTTTGAGCTTATTATAATCACACGTTCCTTGTGTCTCTACAAAAAAAAAGCAACAAAATCGATTGAAAAACCCAACCGACAAAACCCTAATGAAACAAAACCAAGAGAGTGCTACACACAGCAATGGCATTGGCGATTTTGATATTGGCATTGGTCTCTTCGCGAATCTTCTGGATTTAGCACCCCTCTTTCCCTATTACTTTTTCGATCTGCCAAGAGGGATTTTCTTCAACCTCTTCACCAATCTCATAACTTCCGTGTAGATTTTCAATGCTTTCTCCATTTCTCAACTTCCAACCCGCCGATCAGTGTTAGGTTTTTTTATTTATTTTTTTTTTCTCTCTCTCTTCTGTCCTTATCATTAAATAAATTTAATAGGTGGCTTTTGGTTAAAACTCAAAGTTTTGAAACCCTTTTCATTAATTTTCCAAAATAAAAACCCACCCAGAAGCAATCTATTGGCTTCCCGGGATTTATATGAGTTACACCAGTTGGTTAGGATAGTGTGTTCCAATTCATGTAAATTTCCCACCCAGAAGCAAACCCTTGGCCTCCTAGGTCTCATATGAGTAAACTAAAGAATGAAATTTAGCTACCATTCCTCGTTTAACAATGCTTAACTTTATCCTTATTTTCAGTCCCCACATCGTTAGATTCTACCATAAACTAAAGAGCAATGCTATGGAAACTAAATTTGTAAACAAAATTTTGTAAACTAAATGACATCAAAATTGATGCTTGGATTATTAAGCATTTATAAATGTGCTAATTTCTTATTAGTGATACATCATTTAATTTGCAAATTTTGTTTACAAATTTAGTTTCTCTAACATTACTTTAAACTAAACAAATCCTTGACCCCTTGGTCCCTCCAAATGTCAACGAGAGAGAGAGAGAGAGAGAGAGAGAGAGAGAGAGAGAGAGCAGCAACAACCTAGATACGTGTGCAATAATGTGTTTCCATAATGAAGAACTACTCCTAGGCCTGCTTTTCATTCTATTCTCCTTTTATTTGTTCAAGAATTGATTGACATGTTTATACAAAAATAAGCAAAAGCCAAAACCCCACGTCTCTAATCCAACACCATGTTTGTATTCCGGCTGATACCGTTTCTACAAAACCCACCATTTCCTAACGGCTCGTAACATTTTTCTGTCTCTACAAGATATTCTTATGCTCAATAATTAATTTAATTTTTTTTTTCTCAAAACTTGTGAGCTAATATTTACAATTTTTTTGTCGATTTTGAGATTTTTTTTAAGAACTACATATAACCTATATTCGTGTCAAATTTTCCAAACTGTACGAATCTTAAAATTCTTATGGGACATTATGAAGATTTGGACGGTGCAGTTGATTTTATTCTTGCTTTTCTATTACGATAAGAATGCTTTTGAACACCTTATATAACATAAATTGTTGCATTTTCTACAAATTTTGTGAGTGTTAACACTCACAATTTTGTTTTCGTTTGTGATTTCTTTATATTAAAATCATCTTTCCTACACGTAAGCTTTTGAACATTTGGATCTACAAAACGATGATAAAACTGCTATGAAAAAGCTTAATCATAACACTTTCCTTAATACAAAACAATGCCTATTTTATTCAACTTTTTATCTAATCGTAAAGCTCTTGGAAATTCAAGTTGGGCTTCGAACATCTTCCGAACCCGTAAAATCACCTCCAGGCCTGATACAAGTTCAAAAAGATATTTGTCCACGCTGCAGGCTGACAAATTTGCCTCTGTGAATGCAAAGCAAAAGAAAAGCACCTTTCATAATCCCCCACAGGGTTAGGAAAATGGCTCCTCACTTGTGCTCTTCACCCTCTTTTCTCTTCCGCAACCCCCAAACTCCCTCCCGCTCTCTCCCTTCTTCTTCTTCTTCTTCCCCGATTGATTTCCGACTCCGAAGCTCTGCAATTAACACCCACAGACTCAGTTTTCCTTCACTGCAATTTCAGTCAAGAACCTCTCTGCAAATACACCATGTTTCTTTGCAAGACGCAGTTGCAGAAGAAGCCCAGAACTCCCAAGCTCCAGAAATTGGAAATATTCAGAGCCCAGATGGAAATTCCGGGTCTTTGTCGAAAAGCTATATCTGGGTCAATCCCAGCAGCCCCAGAGCTTCACAGCTGCGGCACAAGTCCTACAATTCCAGGTACCCTTCTTTGGTGAAAGTAGCTGAGTATTTGAACTCTTGCACCCCGATTGAAAGTGATGTTTTCGAAGCTATAAGAGGTTTAGGGGATAATATTTTGGAACAAGACGCTGTGGTGGTTCTGACTAACATGGACAATCCGGAAAATGCTTTGCTTGCGCTTAACTACTTTCAGCACAGGTTGAAACCGAAGCGGGAGGTGATTTTGTATAATGTGACTTTGAAAGTGTGCAGGAAGGGTAAGGATATGGACAGAGCAGAGAAGCTGTTCGACGAAATACTCCAGAGAGGTGTTAAACCCGATAATGTTACCTTTTCGACTATGATTAGTTGCTCTAGGATGTGTTCTTTGCCTGATAAGGCTGTGGAGTGGTTTGAGAAGATGCCCGGTTTTGGGTGTAATCCGGATGATGTTACCTATTCGGCTATGATTGACGCCTATGGACGTGCTGGTAAGGTTGAAATTGCTTTCAGTTTGTATGACCGGGCCAGGACTGAGAAGTGGCGCATTGATCCAGTGGCGTTTTCTACATTGATCAAAATTCACGGGCAATCGGGGAATTTTGATGGGTGCTTGAATGTTTATGAGGAAATGAAAGCTATAGGGGCTAAGCCAAACTTGGTTATTTATAACACTTTGTTGGATGCTATGGGAAGAGCTAGGAGGCCTTGGCAGGCCAAGAAAATTTACCGAGAGATGATCAGCAAGGAGCTTTCACCAAATTGGGTAACCTATGCAACTCTTTTAAGGGCCTATGGTAGAGCTCGCTACAGTGATGATGCTCTTAATGTTTATAAAGAGATGAAGGAAAAGGGACTGGAGTTAAATGTAATTCTCTATAACACCCTTTTAGCTACGTGTGCTGATGTTGGTTACACCGATGAAGCTGTTGAGATTTTTGAAGAAATGAAGAGTTCTGAAACACTGAAGCCTGACAGTTGGACCTTTTCATCCATGATTACCATATATTCCTGTAGCGGGAAAGTCACAGAAGCAGAAGCAACATTGAATGAGACTTTGAAAGCTGGTTTTGAGCCAAATATCTTTATTTTGACATCATTCATCCAATGCTACGGTAAGGCAAAACGCACTGATGACGTTGTCAGGATATTCAATCAACTCCTAGAATTGGGTATAACACCAGATGAGCGTTTCTGTGGTTGTCTCCTGAATGTGATGACTCAAACACCAAAGGAAGAACTTTGCAAGCTTGCGAACTGCATTGAGAGGGCTGATGAAAAACTAGGGTATGTGGTAAGACTTTTGGTGGAAAAGCAAGACAGTAGTGAAAAGTTCAAGAACGAAGCATCACAACTTTTTAACTCAGATTGGTTCGGATGTAAAGAAGGCTTACTGCAATTGCCTGATTAATCTTTGTGTGAACCTCAATCTCTTGGAGAGAGCCTGCGAGCTACTAGACTTGGGGATCACACTTCAGATATACATAGGCTTACAGTCAAGGTCTCAGACCCAGTGGTCTCTGTATCTCAAGGGCCTCTCTCTTGGGGCAGCTCTGACTGCATTACATATTTGGATCAATGACCTGTCTCGGGTATTGGAATCTGGTGAGGAGCTTCAGCCGTTGCTTGGAATTAATACTGGACATGGGAAACATAAGTATTCAGAGAAAGGTCTGGCGAGTGTATTTGAGTCGCATTTGAATGAATTGAATGCTCCCTTCCATGAGGCCTCAGACAAGGCTGGCTGGTTTTTGACAACAAAGGTTGCAGTCAAGTCATGGTTAGAATCTAGAATTTCATCTGAGTTAGTTACTGCTTAGATGTTGGGCTGTTTAGTTTACTGAAAAAGCTCATCACGCTGAAAATGTAATGTGAAACTGGTATTTGCTGCTTCTCAGTTCTCTATTTATATGTTTTTGGAATTCTCTCTAGGCGTAGAGAACAGTTTTGTACAATTAGAATTCAACTGTGAAATCTTCTTTCATTGGTCTTATAAAGTTAGTGAAGTTCTTAGAAATCTTGCATCGTACTCGGTAGTAATGCGTCTATATGTGTGATGTGATTTGAGTAACATCATCGGTTAGATCATAGCTGAATGAGTTTTAAGAAATCGAATTAGTGAAAAAGTCCAGTTTCCTTTTGTATGCTACGAAAGTTTTGAAAATTCCTTATTGCAACATGAGAATGACAGGAGTTACAAAACAAGTGTATTGTTGTAACTTCTGTTTCCATCCAAGCTATAGGAAAGGCCAATTGGCGCCGTCACAGACTGAAGCGACCTTAGGTGCTTACTTTCTGAGGTTTATTTCCGCTATTATAATTCTCGAGATACGGGGGATGTTATTTGCTTGTGATAGAATCATGTAGACATTTAGTCTTCTTCATCTCTTTTGGTTGAAATTGAGAGCCGAAGCTATTATATTGTGGCTAGTGACTCAGGCTTCCTGTGTAATTCGATTTGAGGCCTCATTGACATTTATTTAACGAAGACAAAAAACATATAGTTAAGTTCAATATTTTTTTTGGAGTTGACATTGGATACTACATAAACTTCATGTTGTGACTGTGGTGCAATGAACAATCTCCGCAGACCATTGATTTGGAGGTACTTAGATAATATATCATGACTAAAGAAGCAGTGTCATGGCTTGCACGTCAAACTTCCTCCCACGTGAAATTGATCAAAGCCACACACTATAAATTCGACGAGAGCCCGAAATTCCTAATCCATCATTTGCATTTCTCTGTGCAAAGTCAAACCAAACAATGGGAAACTGCATAAATTTTATGTCCCACCCGCCCCACGGGAAGATTAAAGTAGTAATCCGTAAGGGTGGACAACGCAAATTCAAAGCCTCAACACCAGTCCAAGCAATCGCATATGCCATTGGCACCCAACCCCAAGCTAGACCCCGTTAAGGTTTACCATGTCGTGCCAGACCTTGCAATTCTCCTCGGAAAGCCCCTGGTTCCTTCAAAACTAGTCCGCCAAGAAGGATACAAAAGAAAAAAGATTAAGATCGTGGTGACTAGGGAAGAGTTGGAGTTGTTGTTGAAGAGTGCGAACAAGCCCCGGTCAAAAGAAAATGGTGTTCGATTGTCAGGGAGGTTTGGGTTAGAGCCTCCAAAATGGCAGCCTTGTTTGGCCATCATTCCAGAGGTGCACCATTTTTGAATGATACGATTTTGGGTTTTTATCTTCCCTCTGGCGTCATGGTATTTGTACTGTTTAAAGAATAGTATAACAGATTTTCCAGGTAAATGTGATCGGGAAAACTAGTTTCTTGTATGTGTCTGTTGTATTTATGTTGTTTCATATGTGCCGATGTTACAAATGCCAAGATGCCCAGTCCCATCTTGTCTCTTGAAACTGGTGCATGGCACGTACAATACACTCAGTCCCACAGACCCAAAATTTGTGTTTTTGGTCATATACGTTTGTGCGGACGTAAGACTCGTACAACCGATAAGTAAGGGTACCAAGAGTATATATACGGATCAAACCTAAACTACTGTAGAATGCCTGAAAAAAATGAAGGGTACCAAGAGTATATATACGGATCAAACCTAAACTACTGTAGAATGCTTGAAAAAAATGAAGATATGTCATCCAACGATTCCGAGCTTGCTTTGTACGGACTCTCATTTTGCAATGAATAAAAGAGTTCAAATGCTAGCTTGGGCTGGTGTTTTATTTAGGATTGAATTTGTATGCTTGTAGAAGTGAATTCGATGCTTAAATTATCTAGACATGATAATGCGTATGTTACGGAATTTATCTAATACTAGGCTACGATTTATGATTAGTTGTGTGAGCAAACAAATTTGAATGGAGACATGGTAACCTTGACTTTCTTTGTATATCTTTGTTTCATTGGATGTTTATGTTAAACCGCGTCGAAATCGGTCCTGCGTAATTAAGTTATACAACTAGCGTGGAATTGTCTGTTAAAAATGGGATAGAATCCATTCTTCATTTTTGATTCAGAGAATAGGGTGGAGGGGGAGGATGTGTGCACAACTTTTCCCTCGACTTCGATTTTAGTAGTACGACTGGTATGTTCCGTTGAGATTTACTTTTTCCTCGTGATGTTTAATGTTGTCTTGCAGCTCGGATGAGTTATTTGAAAAATGATGAAACCCTAGTGCAATTGAGAGATAAGTAGAAATTACATAGAAATCAAAATAATGAATGAAAGAAGGAAAGGCTCCTTCCGACTCCAATGTCGTCTATAGGCATGTGAATTTCGGAGTTGTCATATAGTTCTTGCCAATGTCAGACGTATCAACTTAAACTTAAAGTTGTTTGTTGAGATGGTATTGATATTAAATCAGATGCCGTCAAAGTTCCTGAATGATCAATGTCAAGTTTGTTGAACGTTTCCATCACCAGTGCAATATCTTCCTGGTTGATCTTCCCCATCTCCTTTAGCTTATATACGATAAACTCTGCCGCACTGATACATAAATGAATCCAACAAGCCAGACGCATGAGAACTGATATATCTTAATTATTTACAAACAATAAGACAAAGCATGCACGAGGATTGTAATTTATATTCATACCTAACGACTTTATCATGATCAAGATCTGCTTCCTCAAGATCCGAGGGTGTTAATCTCCTCGTAAGAACCCACTTCACAAGTGATCTTTGCCTTCTTTCAGTGTATAGTTCAGCAAGGTAGAGAAAGAACTGTGCTAAACAAATGGTGCTGCTCAGTATCCAAAAAACAGCGAAAATACGACCAGCTCCCGTTGAGAAACTCTCGTCCCCATAGCCTAGTGTAGTTATAGTGGAACAAACGCAATAGAGAGCATCTGTAACTTCCAGATTCTCAACTAGACATAAGAAGACAGTACCTACTATAATAAGAATCAAAAGAAGGATTCCGACAGTAATACATTTGAACTTGACTTTTTCGGTCTCAACCTCCTTAAGAAGCTCCTGTGGCCCAAATTTTTCGCGAAAATGTATAGCTCTAACCAAAAGGATTTCCTGCTTCTCTACAAGGTAATCTGCTGCCTTGCCAAGAATTATGCCAACAAGGGCCATGCCAATGAACACATAAACGCATGCAACTAGCTTTGCCAACATGCTATTTGGCACAAGGTCCCCGTAACCAACAGTGCTCATTGTGACTATACACAAGTACATGGAGTCCAGAATCGCATTTGTTTTCTTACCCTTTATCTGATGCCTCATCAGGAAAAAGCAAAATGTGCCTCCACCAATGTACGCAATCAACAACAAAAGTACTTGCGTTAGACTGAATTGTGGTTTTACATAGAGCGGATCAGAATCTACAGGACATTGAGATTCCGCTTCATTTTGTTGTAGGCGGTTCTTGAATGATGGACATGGGGTAGTGCTAATGCTATAAAGGCGATTTCTTCTTCTGTGGACGACATTTGTTTCATTATTGAGTTGAGAATGATCTTTCTTTTCAGAAAGTAAGGCTTCTTTAACATCGTCGCTAAAATCGGTAGCCATCAGATTTAAAGCATTACGTTAAGATTCATCTGCTAAAGCAAAGGACCTGCAGTACGGGATTGAAAACGACATAATTTTTTTCCAAACCAAATTATTTAATGAGAATTGAAACACAGAAGGACAGTGATCAAACAAAATGTCCATTTCAAAATTCAATGAAATTCTCATGGTTGTTAAAATCAAATGACTTTCTGCATTAAAAAGGAAAAAAATTCAATGACTTGCTACCTTACCTAAATAACACTGAACAGAAGAAAAAAGGGATTAAAAGTATCTTGGCAACCTCAAGATCTTAATCCAGTAGTTTCCTCAATCAAAGACAAGCGGACCGATGGGATACCCTGCAGAAAGTAGAAACTGAGAAAATAAATGCATGCTGATGCTCTGCATATCATACCAAATTACCAATTACCAATTATCAATTACCAAGCAAAGGGAAATGCAAGGAACATTACTATTATTTTCTATTTTGGCTGGGGAGTGATAAAGAAGCAACCAAAAATCACTCTGGTGCTTCCAACTGGGTAGATTTACACCGCTAAGCAACTTATTTGTGGCATTTGAAATCCACTTGGACGCACCGCATGTTTGACTCTCACCTTTTCACATCTCATCAAGTGCAAAAGTATATGTTCCTCCCAACCTTCCTATTTCATGCGCTTAAGGTCGGTCAATCTTAACCTTGCTTTAAGCCCAAGCATGGCCTTAATACATGCTCCTTCTTATGCAACCTTGTGGGAAAATATGATTTAACAAGGTGATGTATACCATAAGAAGATGTCAATTTACTTGCACTAGTTGGTTCAAACTTTTCGTAAGCAATGAGATTTCCAAAGAGCGATTCTCTGTTCTTATAAACTCTTGTAAGCATAATTCTCATCACTCAATTTCCGAAGGTTACGTTGAGCATGTCGCCTTTTCCACATTTAACTAGGACTCCTAATTGTGGGATCTCTAGCACAAAGAAAGATGATGGTTATGCAAAGCTAAAAAGGTAAAGAGAGGTTATTATTGACACTACAAAAACGTCATAGAGCACTTTTTTCTAAATATTTTTTACAAAATAATATTAACGCTCAAAAAAATGCATTTTAACTGTTACAGAAGTTGTCAAAAAAGGGCTAGGATTCTCTCCCCTTCTCTTTCCATCTCCTTCCATCCCCTCTTCTCATATTCTCTTATTTTGTCTTTCTATTGCTATAAAAAATTAACGTGATTTAACCGTGACCGTTCAAATAGGAGTGGAGGAAAGGGAAGGAAAAAAAAGAGGGAAGAGAATCTCATTCCATTAGAAAACAAATGCTGTCGAATTCAGAGTATGCCCAACAGTGTGGGCTAACATAACACTACCCATTAACAGGCCCGACCCATTTAATTTTACTTGTATCAGAGGGGAAAGAGATAAAAGGTAAAAGGACAGGGACACTCGGTCAGTCCAGTCGGATGCGGAGGGGGAAGAAGCTGAAGACGGAACAAGGGTTTAAGCACATCCTCCCTCACTCGTAGTCATTCTTTCACTGGTGCGTCCTTCTTCATCGTCCCCTTCCGTCCTTGCTCTTTTATTCTATTCGATATATTTCTCAAAAATGTTATCTTTTTTGTTTTCCGGGTCTGATTTTCTTTCTCCAATCTGTTATGTTAAACCCCCTTTCCGCTCTCTCTGCCATTTTGTTGCATAGATTGTTTTTCTTTGCATTCTGAACAATTAGCAACCCATTTCTTATTTCTTTCAATTTTTTATTTTGTTAAAGGATTTGTGTTTATACTGCGAGCTATCTTTCTTGGTCAAGAAAGATTATTAGAGTAGCTAAAGGTCGAGTCTTGGAGTGGGAGTTGATTTTGAAGTGTAATACTAATCAATGACGTCTATCCCATCGAAAAACATATGGATTCGGCGGCAGCAATGCCCCTGTGGGGATTGGAAATGCTATGTGACATATGAGGGAGACTCTGAAGAGGCATCATCCATAGCATCCCAATTGGTTAAGAATGATAGTACGACATCAGAGGCTATGGTTTCCCCCTATGTTGGAATGGTGTTTAAGAGTGACGATGATGCGTTTGAGTATTATGGCAATTTCGCTAGGAAAAACGGTTTCTCAATTAGGAAAGAGCGCTCCCGACTTAGCCCACAGTTGGGTATTTATAAGCGTGACTTCGTTTGTTATCGTTCGGGGTTTGCACCCATGAAGAAGAAGCCTACAGGGGAACACCACAGGGATAGGAAGTCAGTTCGGTGTGGATGCGATGCAAAAATGTATTTGTCCAAGGAGGTTGTTGATGGGTTTTCTCAATGGTTTGTCGTGCAATTCAGTAATGTCCATAACCATGAGCTTTTGGAAGATGACCAAGTGCGGCTTCTTCCTGCCTATCGTAAAATCCATGAGGCGGATCAAGAGCGGATACTGTTACTTTCTAAAGCTGGGTTCCCCATACATCGTATAGTGAAGGTGTTGGAGTTGGAAAAGGGGATTCAAGGTGGACAGTTACCCTTCTTAGAGCGGGATGTTAGAAATTTTGTCCAAAACCGTAAGAAGGTTGTTCAAGAAAATGATGCTTTGCTCACTGAAAAACGGGAGAACGATACATTGGAACTTCTTGAGGCATGCAAGGAACAAAAGAAGCAGACGAAGATTTCGTTTATGATTTTACAGTTGATGAGAATGATAAGGTTGAACACATTGCATGGTCGTATGGTGATTCAGTCCATGCATACACTATGTTTGGTGATGCAGTTTATTTTGACACTTCATATCAATCAATCACATATGGCATGCTTTTTGGAGCATGGCTTGGCATTGATAATCATGGAAGGACTATTTTCTTTGGTTGTGTTCTTTTACAAGATGAAACACCTCGTTCCTTCTCGTGGGCTTTACAGGTTACCATCCAATACACCTACTTTATTCATTTTTATTAGCTGTGTCTTTGTATCTGTCCACTTACAATGATTTTTTCTTCTTTCATATAGACTTTTGTTCGTTTCATGAGAGGGAGATTCCCACAAACAATTCTAACTGATCTTGATCCTGGGCTTAGAGATGCAATAAGAAGTGAATTACCAGGCACTAAGCATGTCATTTCCCTTTGGAATATTCTTCCCAAGGTATCTAGCTGGTTCTCTGTTTCACTTGGACCACGCTATGTAGAATTTAAATCTGAGTTTGATGTGTTATATCGGCTGGAGAGTACAGAGGATTTTGAGCTTCAGTGGAATCAAATGATTTCAATGTTTGGGCTTACTACTGATAAACATATTGCTTTACTTTATTCAGTCCGGGATTCCTGGGCTCAATCCTATATTAGGGGTTACTTTCTTGCTTGTATGGCAACGACAACATATTCAAAGTCTGTAGATGCATTTTTGAAAGGAGTTTTCAGTGCACAAACATGTTTGCGTAGCTTTTTTGAGCAGGTATATTGGTTGGTAACTTTTGCCTTTGGTATATGCTTATAGTTCTTAAATTGATATGGTTTCTTATGCTTGAACGCTTGCAGGTTGGTATTTCTGCCAATTTTCAAAGTCAGGCCCATCGAGATATGCAGTATATGCATATTAAAACAACCATTCCCATGGAGGAGCATGCGAGGAGTATTTTGACGCCATTTGCCTTCAATGCTTTGCAGCAGGAACTTGTACTCGCCATGCAATATGCAGTGTCTGAAATGGCCAATGGGTCATATCTTGTGCAGCACTTTAAGAAGATTGATGGAGAGCGTCTTGTGATATGGATACCAGAAGAGGAACAGATTCACTGTTCCTGTAAGGAGTTTGAATCTTCAGGATTGTTATGCAGACATTCTCTGCGTATATATGTAGTAAAGAACTACTTTCAGCTTCCTGACAAATACTGTTTAAACAGATGGCGGAAAGAAGGCTCTCTTGATTTTTACAATGACCACATTGCCCGGACTAGTGATGACGAATGGATTCAAGATTATCAATGCCTTACTGAAACCCTGTTTACAGAGTCATCAATTACAAAGGAGCGTTCTGATTATGTTCGCAGGGAATTGACAACCCAACTCACAAGGATTCTCAATGAGGTTAGAAATATGCCAGAATGTGGAGGAGTAGCTATGGATCTGACATTTTCCCCTACTGGCTAATTTAAAGCAGTTGATCATGTGTATTGTATTGGTAACAAATGCAACTGCAACATACTTTGTGGAATTGAGAGTACATTCAGAGTTAAAAAAGCTATGATCCCAAGGTAAGGCGATGGTACAATATTACTTTGCATTCGGTTTTTCTTGTTTCAAGCGGGAAACTGTTAACGTGTTGAGAAGGGATAATCAGAATTCAGAAGTACCTTGAAAATAAACTTTGTAACTTGCTGATGTATAATATGACAAGATTCACAACACACACAGGATGTGGAGAGAGGATCTTACCTAAGGTGATGTACTCTCTGTATTACTTTAGCAAGATCTGAATAGGGAAGCATGGTTTCTTCCTCTTAATTTGTGTGCTCTTGCCCCTTCTTTTTGGATGACTTAGCAAGCCTTAGGTTTACAATGCGCATTTGAATCTGCTTATGGTGGGTGCCTAAAGTGTGCGACCAAGCTATTTGCTTGTACTAATATTTTGCGGTAGATAGTACTGGAACTGATGGCAGGCCACATATGTTTGGTAATTGCCACTCACATCTTGTCCTCGTCTCGCAGTAAAGGAGATCCCCCGTATTTGGTTACCGACCAGCTCCACACTGATCACACCTCCAATACAGGGAATCCCTTTCTTGTGAGAGATTGCACGAGTGATGTGGACGGACATTCTTATCCATTACTTGCCCCATCTAGTTCTAGATCTTTCCCTTCATTCATAAGTGATGATTGTAAATTTGGTAGACATATTCTATTTTTCTTTGACAAATAAGACAGTAATCGTTGGGAATTACTTATCCCTTGGTCTATTGGTAAACTCTCTCTCCAGAAATTATGAAAGATGTTCTACTAGAAATATTCTTGTTATTGTTTCGACTCATATTCCTCAATTG